AACACTCTGTGAGGTGAGTGGGGCTGAGAGACTTCAAAGAAGTGTTACTGGCCCAAGGTCACCCAGCAGCTGCATGTGGAGGAGCGGAGACACGAACCCGGTTCCCCAGATTACGAGTCTATGGCTCCACTCTCCATGTGTTGAGTCCACACACTATTTGAAGACGTAACTACTGGCAGATGTGGATTTAGGGTAGCACAACTGGTTCCCCTGCACTGGGCACCAATCCAAGAGGAGTGCCACAGGGTGTCACAACTATGACATAATGCGTGCACAGGATGGAAGGTGAGAGGTGGGGGGAGCGCAAATTTGGGGCTCGCGTAAGGCCGAAATCTGAAAGACCAACGTCTGCCCCTGCTACTGGGGCTCGAGAAAGCAGCTAAAAGGGAGGAACAAAAGTGAAGACTCAGAACAGCCATTTTCCTGAGAAAAGTAGAGTGCTTTCAAGGATTCCCTCCAAATATTCTCCCCTTTGGGAGAGTATAGGTTCCCTTCTGCAGGCACATGTTTTAAGTAGCAAGTCTCACCCAGTGCATAAACTATTATAATAACTAGGTACAGTGGTACCTCTGGTTACGTACTTAATTCGTTCCAGAGGTCCGTTCTTAACCTGAAACTGTTCTTAACCTGAAGCACCACTTTAGCTAATGAGCCTCCCGCTGCTGCTGCCGCTCTGCCGCCACACGATTTCTGTTCTCATCCTGAAGCAAAGTTCTTAACCCGAGGTACTATTTCTGGGTTAGCGGAGTCTGTAACCTGAAGTGTCTGTAACCTGAAGCGTATGTAACCTGAGGTACCACTGTATGGCCACAGATACCCAACCTCTTAACATTCAATGGGAGGTGAGTACATGGCTTTCTGTAGCATTCTTCTGGCATTGCTCCTGTGGAAGGGTCGGGCATGGTGAAAGGAACATTTCCATTGTTCCTCCCGCCCCCACCTTTACCGTTGCTTTGTTTGGGACATAACTTCCTTGTGCATTGAGAACCCTGATCACAGGTGAAGCCACCATGCACAGAGCAGCGTCAGAGGTTTTGCCCCAACACAGTGAGAATGAATAGAACTGCATGGTTTTGGGAATGGAGCTAAATGCATAACCCAACAGTGCCTTTCACCACAGTTTCCCCCTTCAACCAAGCGACACCTGAAAAATGCTTGTATGCCCATAGGCTCTTCCACACAATATGGAACCCTGTGTTCCGAACTGTGCAGACAGAGCCCATCTACATACAACTGGATGTGTGCGCTGCCCCATTCACACCTTCCACTGAACGCTTGGAGGTTGGGGTAGATATAACAGGGTCAGTGCCACTCACACACCCCACACTCTCATCTTCATGTATTCCACGGGTGTGACCTGAGGCGTGAATGGGACCATTGTTGCTCACCCTTCCCTGTTCAAAAGTACAGACCAGGCTTAATGACTTAAATGTCAAATGGCTGCTTTTCCCATCTACAAATGAAACCTTTTCCCTCATTCAATGGCACTTATCTGCAGCAGTGAACTACATCAGAGATTCAGAGCTAGAGCGCTGCTTTGCATGCAACAGTCAGAAGGAGCATGAAACCTAGTAGATAGCCAAGTTCAGATCCAGACATTAGTCCCAAGTTGCAAAGGACTTCCTTTCATCTAGGGACGCGGGTGGCGCTGTGGTCTAAACCACTGAGCCTCTTCGGTTTGCTGATCAGAAGGTCGGCGGTTCAAATCCCTGCGACGGGGTGAGCTTCCATTGCTCGGTCCCTGCTCCTGCCAACCTAGCAGTTCAAAAGCACGCCCAAAAGTGCAAGTAGATAAATAGGTACCACTCCGGCAGGAAGGTAAATGGCTTTCCGTGCACTGCTCTGGTTTCGGTGTTCCGTTGCACCAAGAGCGGTTTAGTCATGCTGGCCACATGACACAGGAAAACTGTCTGCGGACAAACGCCGGCTCCCTCGGCCAGTAAAGCGAGATGAGCGCCATAACTCCAGAGTCATTCATGACTGGACTTAACTGTCAGGGGTCCTTTACCTTTTTCCTTTTGTCTAGCAGGCATTGGGACTCTCTGGCCCTCCAGGTAATGTTGCACTACATGATGGGGAAGGGCCATAGCTCAGTGGTAGAGCACATGCTTTGCATGCAAAAGGTCCCAGGTTCAATCCCCAGCATCTCCAGGTAGGGGTGGAAGAGACCCCAGTCTGAAACCCTGGAGTGTTGCTTATAGTCAGTGTAGACAATAGGGAGCTGGATGGGCCAATGGGCTGATTTAATAAAAGGCAGCTTCCTGTGTTCCAGTGATTCAGCTGCAAGTCAAGAGTTGTGAGTTGTACAGTGGTACCTCGGGTTACATACGCTTCAGGTTACAGACTCCGCTAACCCAGAAATAGTACCTCGGGTTAAGAACTTTGCTTCAGGATGAGAACAGAAATCGGGCAGCAGCAGCGTGGCAGCAGCAAAAAGCCCCATTAGCTAAAGTGGTGCTTCAGGTTAAGAACAGTTTCAGGTTAAGAACGGACCTCCAGAACGAATTAAGTACGTAACCAGAGGTTACTGTATTACTGTATTAGTATTTTTATTTTTTAGCATTTCTCCCAGCCGGCTATATTTTAAACCATATACCAGCTCTGCGCAAGCTATAAGAGCTCAAATTTTTGTACTCTTCTAACTTTGTGTGATTAAATAAACAGGACTGTGTCTGGACTCAGTAAGGCTTAGAGTCTGTACAATTAAAATCAATGGGACTTAAGTTAGCCAAGACCCATGGATTTCAGTGGCTCTACTCCAACTAAGTCTGGATACAGCCCCTGACTATTTATGCAAGATTTATCAGATATCCTGCCATATTGCAATTTGACGCAACCCAGTTATTAATATTAGCTACACTCTGTACTTATTTCATAGCTCATACTCAACCTTTTATTTCCCGCACCAAAATAAAATTGGAAATATGCCACTCAGTGATGAGATTTATCTCCATTATTCTCCTTGCCTCAGACAATGAAGAGAGCGTACTGTAATGGGACACTGGTTTTGCAGTGATCAGAAATCATCTTCCTTTTAGATATCCATAAAAAATTCATTTCTCTTTGATCAACCTCAGGCAAAGGTTATCACCTACTCCCATTTATGTCTTTTTTATGGTAACAAGTGCTCTTTTTTCTCTCTCCAGTACTATGGAATTACCATCATTTGAAAGAATTGTTTAGGTTCCTTGACCAGAAGAGGCATTTAACTGTGTCATGTGTGATGTATGGCACGTTTAATTGCTCTTTGCAGCTATTCAAAAAGCATTCAGAAGTAATCATTTAGCATTAATATCCTGGGGCAATCTGAGGTCACAGTACATTAAAAACTAATTCAGAGTGGTTCAAGAATGCATTTTTCATACACAGAGTAGCACAATCCTTTCATGGGCTAAAAAGTGATAGTGGCAATTCAGCACAATGGGAGACAGGTTATTCCACAGATCTGCCACTGGCTCTACAGTCACAGCTAGGAGTTATGCATTTCTGTCACCAAAGCTCAACACACCGTTAGATCCAATTGAACTCAAACAATCTTGTTAGCTTCTGATGAATAAAGTCTGTCATGCTGAAAACCAACTGTAGCTACTTGTTTTGCAGCGTGTAGTGAAGTAAGAGTTAGATGCTGCAATTATGCCTTGATCTTCCTATTCCCCCACCCCTTCCACACTGGCAAATCAAGAATCAGAGCTTTTAGTGTGGTAGGACCCACCCTCTGGAATACACCCAGCCCCCCACCAGAAGACTTCTTTATTCAACCAGGCTGTTGAGTGGTATTGTTCATGGCGGTCTTAAAGGTGGGTTTAATGTATTTTATTGTTATAACTTTGTGTTTTTTTTGTTTTATTTCTTTTTTGGTACACTGCCACCATGTTTTTGAACAGTGGGTTGCTTCTAAAATCTGTAAATAAACAGGAAGGCTCCATCCTGCGTTTACGTCATCCTAGTCTTTTTTAGCAGGTGCAAGACCTCTATTTAAATAAAGGTGTCTATGAGGGCATGTGATAGAGATGTGTAAAAGGATAAATGATTATTGGCCCAAGGTCACCCCAACATTGGATCTTTGTCCAACCAGTCAGGGTTGGCCAGCCATTGTTGGAAACATAAGGCACTGATCCATAAAGCTGTTGTTGTAGAATACAGTAGTACCTCTGGTTGCGAACCATTCCATTCCGGAGGCCCGTTTGCAACATGAAAGGAACGCAACCCGCAGCGGCGCGTCTGCGCATGCGCAGGTTGCAATTTGCCACTTCTGCACATGTGCATGACGTCATTTTGCACGTCTGCGCATGCGCAAGTGGCAAAACCCGGAAGTAACCCTTTCCAGTACTTCCAGGTCACCATGGGACGTAACCTGAAAGAACATCACATGAAGTGGACGTAACATGAGATATGACTGTAGCTGTGTTAGCTGCCTGCTTGTATGTATGTATGTGCCCATGCATTGAAATCCCTAAGAGAGGTCCTTCTCTGCATATCCAGCTGAGATATGGTGAGGGGCTACAAGAGAAAAGGCCTTCTCAGCCATGACCCCTTATCACTGAAATGCCTTCAGTAAAGAAGTGGTGCCTTCTTTAATAGCTTTTTGACTGTGTATTCCTTCACAGGGAACCAGACAGAGGGCCTTCTCGGTAGTGGCGCCCACCTTGTGGAACACCCTCCCTTCAGATGTGAGGGAAATAAGCAGCTATCCTATCTTTAAAAGACATCTGAAGGCAGCCCTGTTCAGGGAAGTTTTTAATATTTAATGCTGTACTGTTTTTAACATTTGATTGGGAGCCGCCCAGAGTGGCTGGGGAGACTCAACCAGATGGGCGGGGTATAAATAATAAATTATTATTATTTATTTATTTAATTATTATTATTATTATTATTATTATTATTATTATTATTATTATTCCCAGGTTAAGGGCATCTTTGCTGCTTCTTGTGGTTTCGGCTGCTATTATTGTTGGACTATGTGACTTCTTTTCTGCCTTTTGGGGGGGGCTTTTTTAACATTTACAATAGCTCAGTTGGTAAAGCACGAGGCTCTTGATCTCAGGGTCGTGGGTTTGAGCCCCACGGTGGACCAAAAGATTCCTGCGTCACAGGAGGTTGGACTAGATGACCCTCATGATCCCTTCCAACTGTACAGTTCTAGGATTCTATTATTCTATTTGCTGTTGGGTGTCTTAGCAAGTTTCATTTATTACTAAATAGCAGAGGAAAGGAAAGAGCGTAATCAATGATGTTCTAGTCGCTTCTTCATGACCTATGTGGATCTACACCTTTTGCCGACAACCGTCCCCTGCAGTGTGAACACACAGTATACGTGCGGGGAAAAGAAAGGGTTAACAAGCCAGCTTGATTGTTCCCTCCTGGTTTCAAGATGAAAAATTAATTTTAGCATCTTAATTTAATTAGTCGACTTCTTATTAGTACCTCATGGCTCTGGAGGGAGAGGAGAGGGACTAAACTAAGCCAGGAATTGAGCCCAGGTGTCAGCAGGTGACAGATTCTACATTAATTCAGTACATTTTCTGCCCTTTCCCTCCGCACCACCATTAATGATCTTCATTTTTAAGTGCAAGGTTAGATAAAATCCTCCATGTTAAAAATAACCACCACCCCACCACCACACCACGCAAGGAATTCTACCACAAAGGAGAGATTAGGACAGCCAATTTAATGACTTAATATTGTACAATATAAAATCATTCCAGTTGAATAACTTTTAATTTATTATAATGCATAGATGCCAATTATGCCTGATTTATTAAGAGAAGTTCAGCAGTATCAGGGCCTTGTGTTTTGAGTGGTTGTCATGGCACCAGGCTTTCACAAGGGCAGCTTAAGGATCATTAAAGTGTCAAGGTGATAAGTTTTGACACTTAGTGGATTTAATGAAGGATGATAATGTTACCTCTTCACATTGCAAAACATCTAGGATTCAAGATAGGCTGTGTACATTCCTGATTTATATTAACCATTTTAGAGAAAACCTGGTGAACCTAGTGTAGGTGCTACTGGTTTTGTAGCCATCACTCTCTTAACGTCAGTTATCGGTCGGTTGGTTTATTTGTTTGTTTGTGTGAAACATTTATACCACCTTTCAACCCAATTAGGGCCCCAAAGCAGCTTAACAGGTACATCAAATGCTGACATTGCTGTCATTCTGGTGTTTAGAAAAGACATACCTGCTTACTCAGGCTAATAAGACTTTTAATGAGTTATTGTTTTAGCCTTCACCTCTGTTTAGCTGTTTTTCATTCTTTTGTTTACTGATGCTCACAAGAACTGAGTTTTTGTTCTACTGGGGGGTTTTTTAATGATTGTACTCCACCCTAGTATAGATACTAGTGAAAGGTAGGCTGTAAATCTTTTAAATAATAATTTAAAGAAACATCAAGGGTTGGGGGGGGGATTCCTTGGGCGCAGTTTCTCTCACAGAATAGGGTGCTCTCAAATCTCAGCTTCCTTTCACCCAACAGATCCCTTGCCCCACAAAAATCTGTTCCTGAGGTCTGGAAGACCTACCCTGGAGCAGTATGGATAATGGTTAAGGGGATCACAAGAGTCTGAAGAAATAAGTGGAAATTCTTCCCCTACCTTCGATTTGTGGAAGTTCTGCTGAATCCAGGCCCCTTCTGTTCATGGAAAGGGCACCTTTTGAACCAACCCAAGATGTACAATGATGAACATGAAGTCAACTCTCCCAGTGGCCTATACAGCATCTTCCTTGCAGCTACAGGATATTGAGTTAAGATAACAGTCTTCTGGGAACCTATCCACATTAACCAGTGCACCCTAGTGATGCTTCTAGGCAGTGCTTTTTTCCTGGGGGGATGCATACCCCGAAATATTTTGTGAATCTAATGGGAGAAGAAACTAAAAAAAATAATAATTAAAAAATTGTTTCTCTAGCATGGTGAATAGTCCGTATTAATAATAATAGTAAATTATTATTTATACCCCGCCCATCTGGCTGGGTTTCCCCAGCCATTCTGGGCGGCTCTCAACAGAATATTAAAAACACAACAAAACATTAAACATTAAAAACTTCCCTAAACTTCCCATTCCATTGCTACCCCCGATGTCCATTTACTGTATTTATTTTTCCCAATTTGAACTATAAAATGGTGATTTTCTTAAGTCAAAATGAGAGTACCCATAAACATTTTTTTTTAGAAAAACAAAAAAACCCACTGCTTCTGGGATTCCCTTGCATCTGTGAAATGCAATTCGCACTGAAAAATAGCCTTGGTGGGGTGGAGTGGAGACAACTGCCAATGGATTTCTTTCCTTGAGATTGGTAGCACCTAGCCAATCAGGACACAGCTATCTGCGGCAATTTGCAAAAAGTGGTTTGGTCAACAGCAGCACCCATAACCGATCCACTACAGGCACTACAAAATATCCCTGCCATTTAACCCTGATTGGAATTCCTGGCCCAATCCCATTGTTGCTTCTGCTGCAGTTCCGTTCTGAGAGAAAGAAGCTAAGAGAATCTTAGCCAATGCAACTTCAGAGACTGGGTGGGAAGCAGCAGGCAGAGCAGTTGGAAAGTGTGCTTCTTACCTTGGTTTAAAAGCAGGAGCTTTTAAAACCACGAATGGCTTCTATGAGTGCATCCAGCCTGAAAAATATTGTGTAAGTAATTAGGATGCTAGTGCTTCTGTCCCACTTTCTAATGTTCCTTTTGCACGACAGTACCTGTTGTATAGGGACACGGGTAGCGCTGTGGGTAAAACCTCAGCGCCTAGGGCTTGCCGATCGCATGGTCGGCGGTTCGAATCCCTGCAGCGGGGTGAGCTCCCGTCGTTCGGTCCCAGCTCCTGCCCACCTAGCAGTTTGAAAGCACCCTTAAGTGCAAGTAGATAAATAGGTACCGCTTTATAGCGGGAAGGTAAACGGCGTTTCTGTGTGCTGCTCTGGTGCCGGTTCGCCGGAGCAGCTTCGTCACGCTGGCCATGTGACCCGGAAGTGTCTGCGGACAGCGCTGGCTCCTGGCCTCTAGAGTGAGATGAGCGCACAACCCTAGAGTCTGTCAAGACTGGCCCGTACGGGCAGGGTTACCTTTACCTTTACCTGTTGTATTATGGAACGGTGACTTTTTTACCAACATACCGGCATGCCATGCTAAAGCATGGCATGCCGGTATGTTGGTAAAAAAGTCACCATTCACACCAGTGGGCATGGTGTGACACAGCAGTGAACATCATCTCTACTCCCCCACTTTTCCCACACATGTGTGGTTCTATTCCACTGTGTTTTAAGATAAGATCCAAAGGGCAAAACAATACACTGGCACAGAATAAATGAAGGTAAAAGGTAAAGGGACCCCTGACCATTAGGTCCAGTCACGGACAACTCTGAGGTTGTGGTGCTCATCTCGCTTTATTGGCCGAGGGAGCCAACATACAGCTTCCGGGTCATGTGGCCAGCATGACTGAGCCGCTTCTGGCAAACCAGAGCAGCGCACAGAAAAGCCGTTAACCTTCCTGTTGGAGCGGTACCTATTTATCTACTTCCACTTTGATGTGCTTTCGAACTGCTAGGTTGGCAGGAGCAGGGACCGAGCAATGGGAGCTCACCCCGTCGCGGGGATTCGAACTGCCGACCTTCTGATCAGCAAGCCCTAGGCTCTGTGGTTTAGACCACAGCGCCACCCGCGTCCCTGTGAAGGTAGCAATGCTGTTGATGTTGTTTTTAACAGACCTGTTCCTTGAAAAACACATGATAAACTTCTGAGTGCCAGACTTCTATTCAAGGTACAGGAGCAGGGGCAATGAAAAAAAATGTCAGCCCTAGGTGAAATAATCTATATTCCAGTTTCTGGTCCAGACTTCCCATTGCTCTGGAATTTTTTTTTTAAAGGTTCTTAAAATCTATCACCCTTTATCAGTTTAAATGGGGGGGGGATTAGAGCCAGTTTGTTTGTTCAACTATGAGGGCTTGTCCACACCAGTGTTTGCCCCACTGCTTTTCCCCAGGAAAACCTTTGGCTTACTGCGGATCTGGACCAAACAGCAATCAGGTTTTCCATGGTAAGGAGTGGGTTTTCCAGGGGAAAGCTGTGGGGCAAATGCAAAACCGCTTAAATCCATGCCTAGAAAGCACGAGGAAAGTTGGAAACCAGCCAGACCCATGCTTTCTAGGCACGGGACAAATGGGCGAGCCCTGACTGTCTCTTTCAATGACTGAGGAAATGATGCCTCTCTCTGTCAGTAAGGGCCATCAAACTCGTATGACAATTGATACCTGGGTGTGGAGCACCTTTCACACACTTGTGCAAAACCAGTTAAAAGTGCATAGTTAAAGCTAAATGGGACTAAACAGAGTGAACGTTACTTTTCCTGGAGGGTTCTCTGAAAGCACGGGAGAAGATGTTTTGATATGAATGACAAGTTATTTAATACATAGCAGTTTTGGCCATTACATTCTCCAAGTGCCCAGGGTTTTAAAGTAATCCTCCAGGCAGCAGCTTTTGCCTTTGTTAGGCTTCAGGTCTGTGGTGAAAACTCCGTATGAGAAAACTCACTGGAAGACTTTAAACTCTATCAGACCTGGCTTGATTGCAATCACCTCTCCGAGGCTTCCCAGTCATTCACCAAGCCAATTAGTGTAGGCCTCGGTAGATCTCCCCCAGCTGTGAGCTGAGTGAGGGAGCAGGACTCCATTTTGTGCTCTGACACACCACCTGAGTCCCACAACCAGCTAATAGAAGTCTTCCAAGGGCAAACGCATCACAATGCCATTCCATTCACTCCGCAATTCTCCTTTTCTTTCCGCCTTTCCCCCTCCCCGAAGAGAACTGATCTGCAGGCAGAAAAACCCATTTACTCAAAAATAAGAGTAAAATGTTTTTTCTCCTTTCGATAATGTTCCCGGTTCTTTCAGTAGGTATTATGCTCCGTAATGTGCTGCGCACACCCATTTTGTCATCGCTTTGGGTCATCCTTGCTCACAATTGGTTATTTACTCAGGGGCTTTTGAAATTATTGAGTTGACACATCTGTCAGACGGCAAAAGCAGAAATGCTAAAAGGTCACTTGGAGAGAAACCAGCTGCTTCAGACAAACCTTTCTGTCTTCAAATAGCACAGTCATTACTGCTTGGCAGATGGGGCCCCGGCTTTCATTTCTGTTTTTTCTCCTTCACTTCAGGTATTTAGATATATACTACCTCATTGCCAGGTAAGCGTAGGCCTTGTAATTACCTACACAATAGGCAACTCGCTGCTTAAGGAAAACAGCTCCATTTCCCTCCAAACAGAGAGCCTGTTTCCTCCACAGATACAAACTACAGAACAGCTCACCACAAACTTTCCAATTAACAGATTAATTTTGACAGGAATAAGTATATTTTTATTACTCCTGCTTTCATCATGATGCCATGAGACTGGCATTAAGTGCTGAGTATAATGCTCTGAAGCACCTACAGAGACTTTCAGCAGCTATGGGATATGGCTGACCAAATAATTCTTAATCACAAATAGATCTGAAAAGTTTGGCCTCCCTTCTGGGTAGACAAATATTCATGAACAGGTTATTCAAGCACTACATTAAAGCTGGTTGTGATAGAGTATTTTGCACTGGCTGCATATGGCAAGATGGAAGAATTTAGAGAGGGGTTGCTTATGAGGCCACAATCAGAAGGCAGTCTTGGAAATAAGTGAACAAAGCACAGCCATGTTGCCTCTACAGTCATGGAGCCTCGACTCTGGAGTGACAATTCTAAATCTGGAGTTTAGAAGATTCAAGGAACAGAATTAGAATGAGTTGGGCAAATTATAATTATCTGTACAATCTACCTTTAAATACTTTCTAGTGAATTGTTTATTTATCACATATCTCACCCTTCTCTCAAAGAGCTCCAATGGCCAAGGTGGAGGTTATCCAATTAGTGTTACAATATTCTATCAATGTAGGGCTTATCCAATTAGCATTATTCTATGTTGTATATTGTGTATATATATTCATGACTGGTAGGTGGCAAACTTTGTCTTTAACAGCTGCACTGCAGGGGCTCCTGTGTCTTTAACAGCTGCATTGCAAGTAGAGTGCAACAGATGAAGTTTTTCTCATCTCTTTATTTAATGTTCACTCAGTGGGGTAAGTGTAAGTGTGTAACAGGATGCACTGTGTAAGAAAGACACAAATTAAATCATTGCTAAACTTTTAGTTTTATCCATATTTGTTTTGAATTTAGATGGTAAATAACAGGTGGGGTACAACATGCTGCCCTTCTAATCCTAATCTCGGCTTCTGGTATTTACCATTTTAAAAACAGTTGTATAATGTGATTGTTGGAAACCCAGTTGTGCAAGAGCTTCATGTGGGCAGCAGAGCAGGTATGGCGCTCCAATGCCATAAACCTTTCACCTCTGTGTCTATCGTTCTTCTTGATACTCAGTAAAGAATTCTGACTCTGAAAGCTTACGTAGAACCAAGCAGTTCTCTGTGCTCTTGTCAACACACAGCCTTCCAAAGCGCATAAACCAGCTGAATCAGACTCTTGAGGCTTATACAGGACACAAAGAAGAAACAACGTATAAATCTGATTGTACCCCAATCCCAAATTGGAGTGATGCAGAAAGCTTCTTGACAAAAGCTACAAGAGGCAGTGCATGCAGACTGTGAGAGTCACTTCACCCGGACAATTATTAATAATCTTTTCAACCAAAAGCTACAGCTCACTTTCTTTTGTTTTTCCAACAAAAGCTGTGCTGCTCTGAGTTGAAAAGGACAAGTGACTATAAAAATGTAAGCAGGCAACCCCCAGCTGAGAAATTTGAAAAAGGGGCCATTAGGTCCAAAAAAAAAAAAGGCATCTATTTGTGTTCCTCTTCTAGATGTCTATGTAGGGGATGGGTGAACTGCTTTGCCTCCCTGAACAAAAGTATATTATGACATTACAACCCATCTGTTTTTCACCAGCACAGAGGTTTCTTATCCCTCAATGCCTTCTGACACTGGCTTTTAAAAAGCATGGTGATAACACGGATACTCGGTCAGTGTTGACTGCCATCAGCATTTCGTTTGAATTGCTGGGGCTGAAAACAGTCTAAAGAGGCATATTAACAAAATGAGAGTACAGGGAGCAGAGTTTTGTTATAGCCTCAGCTCTTATCAAATTGGGTACTGGTATTCAGGAGTCTTCACACTGATGTATACTTTGAAGTACCTGCATAGAGGTGTCCTCAGATAATCATCTTTGGGGATTTTCGGGTGCTGATGCAGCACTGGAACTGGCACGTTCTGCTATGTGCTTATATCTACACTCGTGTAATGAATGTTAAGTTGTTCTTCTGTAAATGAACAATTATTATGGTAGCTTAAATCTCCAGTGATCTTTCCTCCAGATGGATCTGTAGTCTGTAAATGTCTGCCTTGCCACTCGGGGAAGTAAGAATGTGAAAATGATATATTCCTCTTGAACAAAGAACATATACAAGACTCATTATTTACATGGGAGATTCACCCTCAAGTATGTTTTATAGTTCAGTGAGTTTATGTTATAAGCATTCCAACATATGTGTGAGTATGAAGTTCATGCTACTTTGGGAAGGTTTACTAAGGAGGCTCCTACCACAGCTACCACTCATTTCACAGCTGTTTAGTTCCAGTGGCATACCCTGTGTTGTACAGAAAGTAAGTGCCTTTGCCCCTGTTCAGATGGATTCCAGGCAGGAATGGAAACGAGGCCCAAAAATGGCACAGGAGTGCTGTGAACAGAAAGCAATTATTGTGACATGTAATCCTCATCAAGCCAGAATCTCCCAAAAACAACCTTCAAGTGGATTCACCTTTCTCAAATATTTGAAACAGACCTGCGTTTTCCCTACTTACTGCTTTCATCATTATGTCTGCGATTTGTCAACTGCATACTTATAGCTCCCACACCCAAGTGCTGGTTTTAATTTTTAAAGCAGGGATGGGGAAACTATGAACATCTGGATGTTAGTGGATTCCAATTCCCATCAGCCTAGCCATAAAGGTTTCTCCCATATGTATGTACCCAAACTATGAAATCCTCTTTAATGGTCCCACCATATGAGGTGTGTAGGCACTAGAGCGAGTGCCTTTTCAGTAGTGGCACCCCAGTTATGGAATCCCCTTCCCAGTGATGTTCACCTGGCACCATCTTGGTGGTCTTTTTATGACAGGTGAAGACAATTCTATTCATCCAGATCATTTATTTATTTATGCATTTATTACTTTGTGAACCAATGAAATCACTAGTGTTACAGGGCTTCTATAGAAATGTGGTTATTACGTTAGAAAGGAAGGAAGGAAGGAAGGAAGGAAGGAAGGAAGGAAGGAAGGAAGGAAGGAAGATTGGGTTTTGTTTGTTGGGTATTCAGATAGTTGGGAATGGAAAAGAAGCAATAGCTATTGCAGTGAAGGCCATCCTTTGTGAATCATGGCACAATCATTCTCACACAGTAAAGACAGACCACACCCCATTCCCCAAAGACCCTTGACATGTCTATTAGCTTTTCCTTTAGGTTTGCATACCTCTCTTGCCTTTGAGTTGGCAAACGTGTGGATTGCAACCTGCCTTCCTCAGGGAGCCAAAGTTCCATCTAGCCCAGAATTCGGGTCTCATAGTGTCCAACTCATGGGAAGCTTGTCAGTCGGACATGAGAGTAACCGCACTCTGCCCACTTGTGCTCCCTAGCAATTGGTATTCCAAGGTTTATCACCTCTGATGCTGGAGGTAGTGCATGGTAGCTGGTAGCCATTCACAGCCTTGTCCTCTATGAATTTGTCTAAGCCCCTTATAGCTGGAGTAATGCATATTACTCTGCCTTGGGGTACTGGTGAAGTAAAACATATTGTCACTTAAAAGGGAGTAGGTAAAACCATTCTGCCCAGGGTCTAACTGCACTACTGTCAGAAACCCAGATTTGGCCCTGGGATCTTCAGTTCCCAGCCCATACAGTGAAGTAAACGCTCTTGCCTCTGGTGCAATATCTCAGCAGTGTTGCCAAAGAGGGAATAATCTGTTTACCTGGCACATGTCCTGATTGCAAGCCAAGAAGCCTCACTTTGGCATATTCCTTCATTAGGTACACATTTTTGTTTACAGTTTTCGGCAACAGTTGTAACATTTTGGTTCCCTCCTTGTAAACCTTTTTTTGGTGTGTGTTTTTGGATGCATAAATATAATAGTAAATACTGTACTTGAAGAAAGCTGTAGTCTGAAAAATGGGCAGATGTTCCCTGCTGGGTAATGAGAAACATCTTTCTCCAGTTTTCCTGACAGACGTAAATGAAAACGAACACACAGCCACACATACATTACATTGCACTTGTCTCAGAAACATAATAAAACCTGGAGCTTCTTCCAAGAAGTAAACAAGCAAAGGCAGGTGAGCATCAGATGTGTTTTGAATGTTCTAGAAAGATACGCTGAAATGTCACCATTAATTCTATAACACCAAATAGTATCCAGAATCAATTGTACAAATTGGGGAGAGTTTCATCATTTTGATTTGCACATCTTGCTTTAAGAATAGGGAACATTCTGATGCAGTGCTTGGGTTGAGGATACATATAAACTTGCACTACAGTTCTGTATTTGCCTACTTAATGGGACTCATTCCTAGGTAACTGTATAGGATTGCAGCCTAACTCTTATTGCTTTCTTGTAAGCAGTGTTTTTTTATGGAGGGACGCAAGGGTACGCATTCCCCTAAACATTTTGTGAATCTAAGTTTGGCCTCATTGAGGGGCAGTATTTCAATATGAGTAGGAAAATGAGAGAAAAAGAACAGCTTGTAAGCATTAAGGAATTATTCACATTTGCCACAAAAGTATAAAACCCATGCCTTTGCCATGGCAAGATTCCATGCTGCTAAAACATGCCAATGAATAAAGGTAAAGGGACCACTGACAATGAAGTCCAGTCGCGAACGACTCTGGGGTTGCGACGCTTATCTCACTTTACAGGCCGAGGGAGCTGGCGTTTGTCCACTTCTGCAGACAGTTTTTCCGGGTCATGTGGCCAGCATGTGCTTTCGAACTGCTAGGTGGGCAAGAGCTGGGACCGAACGACGGGAGCTCACCCTGTCAAGGGGCCTTGAACCACCAACCTTTTGATCAGCAAGTCCAAGTGGCACAGTGGTTTCAACCACAGCGCCACCTGTGTCCCTTGCCAATGAATACTGGGGCCCTATAAGACTTTCCCACCTGATTAAGGAAGATGTGAGGTGGCAAATACTCATATGCTGGCTTCCTCCTAGCACAGAATGCCAGTGAATACTTTCTTCTGGGGAGCAAAAATGGAGCAGAGCTATTGCCTGCTGCTCTTTTGGGGGGGGGGACTACCAGAAGTACCTGGTCGGCCACTATAGGAAACAACAAGAATAAGGCAGTGAATAATCCATAATAAACATACCCAGGCATTACTTTAATAGCATGTCTACACTGCAGCATCCCAGCCGTGTTCAGAGGCAGTGCTCATTTCTTGGTTTGTTTACTTGTTAGATTTATATTCCACCTTTGCTCCAGTTAACTCAAGCTGGTGTGTGTGGCCTCCCATTCCCACCACGTTATCCTCACAAAAACTCTGAGAGGTTTAGAGTTGGTTACCAGCCCAAGGTCACCCAGAGAGATTCATGGCCAAGTGGGAAGTCCCAGTCCTAGTACAACACTGTAACTGCCATACTACTGGATTAGGGCTGGACGCGGGTGGCGCTGTGGTCTAAACCACTGAGCTCCTGTTGCTCTGTCCCAGCTCCTGCCAACCTAGCAGTTCGAAAGCCCACCAGTGCAAGTAGATAAATAGGTACCGCTTTGGTGGGAAGGTAAACGGTGCTTCCGTGCGCCTGGTTTCCGTCATGGTGTCCCGTCTGCCAGAAGCAGTTTAGTCATGCTGGCCACATGACCCGGAAAGCTGTGATTAATAATAATAATAATAATTTATTATTTATACCCCGCCCATCTGACTGGGTTTCCCCAGCCACTCTGGGCGGCTTCCGACAGAATATTAAAATACAATAGTCTATTAAACATTAAAAGCTTCCCTAAACAGGGCTGCCTTCAGATGTCTTCTAAAAGTCTGGTAGTTGTTTTCTCTTTGACATCTGATGGGAGGGCGTTCCACAAGGCGGGTGCCACTACCGAGAAGGCCCTCTGCCTGGTTCTCTGTAACTTGGCTTCTCACAGCGAGGGAACCGCCAGAAGGCCCTCGGCACTGGACCTCAGTGTCTGAGCAGAACGATGGTGGTGGAGACACTCCTTCAGGTATACTGGACAAACACTGGCTCCCTTGGCCTGAAAGCGAGATGAGCGCCGCAACCCCAGCCTTTGACTGGACTTTGTCCAGGGATCCTTTACCTTTACCGCTGAACTAGTTACTGAAGACAACACTGGGTAGGGTTTGCCATATTTCAAAAACTGAAAATCCGGACACAAAAATTGAGCTTTTTCATGTAAAGTTGTTGAGCTACCCCCCTCCCCCACCCCAAATTCTGCCCGGATGCTATTTCCAGTGGACGAATCACAGATATGTCTGGGAAAACCTGGACATATAGCAGCCCTAACATTGGGAGACTCATGTCCTGCTTGTGGGCTTGCCATAGGCATCTGGTTTACCACTGTGGAAAACAGGATGAGATGGGCCTTTGGTCTGATTCAGCAGGCCGCTTCTAATGTCCTTATGTTGGATGTTGCAGGTACAACCAGAAATAGTGCCCCTAAGAAAAGGTATTTCCCTTTTCTCCAGGGTCAATACACCAACCTACCCTCCTCACAGATATATTAAAAGTGGAAAGCCAGTACTGAAGGCTGGGCAGCCTGGTCTAGTTCTTGCAATTGCTCCCATCAGCAAAGTGTAGCCAACTGATGCATGTGGACTTTGAGGAGACAGCGTATCAGAGCCCCGAAGGAAGCATTGTGCAGATGTGCAGATATGCACTAAATCCTACATAGCTGCAACATTGTGATGCAATGGCTGGAATGATTCTCAGCACATGGTTCAGAGCTAGTTTTTGTTGACTCTCTAAGAGAAAACTAATGAGTTTCTTAGAAGAGCTTTGGGGCTTCCTGTGATTTAAAACTGGCAGTAAAAGAAAAAAAAGACAGAGAAGGTAGTTGGTTAATTGACCTTTATTGTGCCTTCTGGTTCATTTAGAAATGGAAATTAAATTAACATGATAATTCAGTCCTACTGAGTTAAGGCTGCTATAAACCCATTAAATTTTATGGCAATTGATTTAGCATTTTTTTCTATTAACTGGGTTTAATTTTCAATATTGTCATGCAGATTCGGAGAAGTGGTTCATTCACTTGGGTTCCTTCAAGTTACCAATCGTAGCTGTTTTATGAGGGTAACTTAATTATGGAAGAGCACAGGCCCTTGCCATCAAGAGCATGTATTAATCTTGAAAATGAGTCTGTGCAAAGAGCATGGAAAAACGAGGGAATCCAGAATATTGTGTGTTAAATGCCATGGGAAAGCTCCTTTCACCTATCACCAGTGACCCCCTTCCCCTGAAATTCTCCAATAGCCAAAGATATGTTTAAGATTCACCTGCCATTCACCATAATACAAACTCTTTATAAACCCCACATTTTGCAGTAACTTGTTTTTTAATTTCATTTCTAAACCCAGTATCTCTAGATCTTAGGCAACCTCAGGCTTGATTCTGTTCTGCTCACGCCCGTTTTATTGTGGCCGGTTTGTATTTTCCTTCTGCTAGGACTAATTTTGCTATTTCATTAGCATTGCAGAAGATGATAATAACTATATTTTATCTTATGCAATGACCAAACTTCACTAATCAACCAGGATCCCACAAGGAAGTGATCACAAAACAAGGGTACAGATTAGAGTTGTAATGGTAAATTAAATTTTGAAGGGAAGGAGTTCATTGTGGCAATTCTCATAGCCACACCTGCAAGGACAGTCCAAAAAATGCAAGCGGTTGTGTCAATCTATTATTATATGTAGACACAATCCACAGAGCAGCAGTACATAGATGAATGCCCAATGTATTAGAAACAACATGATCGGAATCCTATATTGTACATAATTTCCTGGGATGCACCTCCATTGAACTTTATTGAACGCAGTGATAATTCTAGCTGCCTAGGTTCAGCATGTAAAACATACTGGATCACACTGCATGGGCGGGGAGTATTTTATAGTTGGAGTTTTTAAATTTATTTTATTTATTTTTAAAATTATTTTATTTGTCCCTTTCTCTCTTCAGCCCCAGCCACGTCACAAACCTAAAGCACATTTATAACATTTTGTCATTAGGGATGGAGAGAAAAAATCTGATCTCACCTAATTCACACTTTCTGAAACTATATGTGAACCAAAACACAGCCATCCTTCAAAATTCACAAATCTCAGAACTTTGCAATGCAGTTCTCCAGCCAAGTAGTGTGTACAAAAATCCCTGTGATAGTGTAAAGTCTGCACATAAATGCAAATAACAGTGAAAATAGCATATAAAAATGTGTCAAATTGGGGGGATTGCTTGCAAAAATGTGTATGTTAGTCAAAACTGCATACATACAAAACATTTATTCGCCCTAAAATGCTGGTGAATTGTTTTAACTAAAATTCACAAATTGCCGCAGAAATGTGAACTGAGTTGAAGATTGTAGTTTACCCCTCCCAGAGCTACAATTCCTAGCACCCTGCAGAAACTACAATTCCCAGGGTGCTTTGGAGGAAGCCATGTGCTTTCAATGCATGCTGTGGATGCGACCAATACATTGAAAGCTCACTATAAGGCAGTTATATAAGTTCTTCTGTGCCAGTTTCGTATCAGTTCATCCGCATAAAACTGATACTGTAACCACCTTCTTATGAGCTCTGCTGTCTGAATGAAAAGCAAAACCCCCCATGATCGCCATTTTACCTCATCAACAAATCTGTGAACTCCTCTGAAAATATATTTTCCTCCTATTTAATATCTGTGCTTATAAATTTCTGCAATATTGATCTATCCTGTGTTGTTTGTTTCTGTAATTGTGTGTGTATATATATATATATATATATGAAAGAAATAGCAACATTGCTATGCGGTTTGGTGCCTTAAGGGCGCACACTGAATGCCTGAACAAAATGACAGTAATAACAATCAGCATTTCAATGCAAGATTGAATTCAACTCTCTGACTCAAATTCAGATACAGTTTCGAGCAGATATTCCCCAGGGAGTTCTGAATGCTAGGTTGGGTTAGAGCAAGTATTTCTCGGGATGCTGTTTGTAATTCGTACTGTTTTGAGATGTATTATTTCCGTGTAGTCCTTTTCTTTTGCATCTACTCACTCATGGAGAGACTACAAGGGTGTGAATCCTGGCTGAATGGTGAACATCAAATGTAAAGTATAATTAAGACAGACAGATGCTTACTGCCCGTGACTATGTGGAGCAATTCTGTTCCTCACTCTTTCCCCGCCAATGATGATTTGCAAAAGAGCCTTGTTCCATATTTAAACATTGTTAGTGTATTGGGAGCGCTTTGGGTAAGCCTGGAGTTATTCAGGAAGCAATTTTAGAGCAGTTGTTGTTTTTTATTAGCTGGTAGGCACTGGAATTTGTGTCAACATCCTATTCCCCTGAATTCTTACATGACTGAAGCTGACATATTTTCCATAGCCATAAATATTGCAGAAGCTGCTCTTGTGTGCAGGTAAGCATTTTACTGTGAGGAATTAATGGCAAACAGCTTTTCTTTATTTGATCAAAGGGGAAGTTATACAAAATAGAATACCCAGATCATAAATTCTTCACTGATGTGTGTATATGAGTAAATTTCTCTCTCTAAAAAAAATAAAAATAAATTCATTATAAACTCTTTTGATGAAACCGAAAGATCCAGAAATATTTAGGCACATTTCTTTTCCGTCTGGCTGTGGACTTTTTATTATCTGTGATCTCTTGGGTGGGTGGGATGTTTTAACCCTGCCATTTAAATATATATTTGACTTTTAGATTTTTATTTGTTTTGTTTTATGGCTGGCCCAAGACAGACAGATGCCAACAACGAAATGTATATGGGTTTGTTCATTGTTGTAAGTCACTTTGAATTACTTTTGAAAAATAAAGCAACTAATTAATTTAATAACTAACTAACTAACAGAGAGGGTGGTAAACATTGAAATATTTATCAGTTCTAATAATCAATGGAGTAGGGGGGAAAGTATTTTTAAACAGTATTTAATCTGTTGTTTTAAGTCAAGCTGTACTGCTAGTCAGTGTTCCTTAGATTCGATGGGACTTGGTCAAGGGTAGTTAGCTGTTCTCAAGGAAATGGATGCAAGTCATGTTCACCTACCAAAATCAGGGCTGAAGTCAGTCTTGGTAAAGCGGTGTGTATCACACACAATAAAGCTTGGATTTCACTGCCCTGTCCATTTCAGATACACAGTCATGAACCTATCACTACCAGCCTGCTTGCTTTTGAACATGTGAAGCTAAGTGGCAGGACAGCCACAAGAAGCTGCCATATTACCAAATTAGACCATTTGTCCTTCTAGTAAAGCATACCCTCCAACAGTCCTCAGATAGGGACATTTCTCACTCTCCCACCAACTGACCCTTCTGGACACCCCGTTTTTTTGTCGTTCCCCCACAGAGCATTTCCTATCAGAGGAAGGGCGAGTGCCACCACCATCACCATGACACCAAATGGACACACTAAGAAGTCCCAAATTCTGCACCCTTTTCCTCAGAGGGGTGTTGCTCACTAGCTGCCAGGCACCCATCTAGAAACTATTGAAGACATTTTCGTTTCAACAAGCTTTTCCAGCTGGGTGGTAAGGAATCCATTTTGAATTGTTTTTAATCCTATCTTCTGAAGGGGTTCAGGTTCTGTTTTTAACTGGTTCAGCTGGTTGTTGGGGTGTGTTTGCCAATCGCCTTGAGACACATATTAGAAGATGACTAATAAATTAACAAATGAATCATTCACATGGTCCCGTATGAGAAGGGAATTCTCTTCATATGCATGGTTTCTGCTGTGGACACTGGAAGCTCCCCTCTCATGAAAGGGAATGGCTCATCTTAGCATGAAGGAATGCACATGTTCACTATCAAAGCCATGACCTTTGCCTCAGTCAGTGACTAAGGAATGTATTATTACATTCAGAAAGTATCTGAAGTGTAGGTAGGTTCCTACGAGGCAAGACAGAGTGATAAGAGCAAGAACCTTTATTGAACTAACGGAACTGGACAGCAGGGGCAAAATAACTGCTTATATACATTTCTGAAGGCCTGGGCCACTGTCACTCCCAACATGATTGGCTTTCTAAACTTATAAGCTACGAATCCTGACTCAGAGTTTAAGGGCCAATGGCAGAGGCCCAAATCCTGAAATGTTTTGTGATTGGATATCATGTATCAAATCAGAGCACAGGGGCTCAGACCCCTTAGTCCAGACTCAAGATCAGGCAAACACAGACCACTGAATACGTAACAGTACCATAATGGGATTCTGTACTATAATTAAAACTGTGACACTTGTTTTAATGGATATGGCTGATGAAGTGCACTGCCCATGTGTATTCTTTAAGAAATATTGTATTAACTGCATTTTTAAATATGTTGTTGAGAGTTTCCTTGGTTTTGTCGGAGAAAGGCAGGTTTAAAATCAAGAAAGAAACTGCTCCCCTTTTTACTATCCTAATTTTTCTCATTTAACTCCTTCCCTCCCGGTGGAACACAGTCTGGCTACAACCAAAACATGCATTTAAGGCATGTGGGGAAACCACAGACGGGGTTGATCTAGCCCAGCTAATATTGTCCATTTTGGCAGAGGCTCTCCACAGTCTTAGGCAGTCTGTCACATCACCTGCTTACCTGAACCTTTTAACTGAAGATCCTGGGGACTGAGACTGGGATTGTCTGCCACTGAAACATGATTGCAAGAGGTTCATTTAGCATTTACATATCAATAGACCCTGATGATATGCTTTCCTTTCCTTTCTGTAGGCAGTGAGGTTTTGACACCATGTCTCTGAATACTGGGGAATGCTGGGAATCACAATTAGGAGAACACTATTAACCTCATGTTAATTCTTCCTTGTGGGGTTCCCGTAAGCATCTGGTTGGCCATTGTGAGAACAGAATGCTAAACTCAATGGACCTTTGTTGGTCTGATCCATCCTAACTTTTCTTATGTCCTTATGACTTGTGGAAATGTCCACAACATTTGCAGGGAGGATGTTTATCAGAATTGCAGCATTTGAGAAGGGACATTTTGACCCTTCGTTTCTCCACTGCGATTTCCACAAAAATACCCAACCACGCCATTCTGTTTGGGTCCCATGGGGTAAGGTGGAACATCAGCACAAAGAAGAGCTTCTAGTGAACAACTCGCTGTGCCTTTTATTGCTGCACATCCAGAACCTCTTTCAGACCCCTTCCACTTCTTGAAAAGTGGAAGGCCTTAAAGGGGCAGGCCTCTGGTTTACAGCACAGCGCTCCATTGTCTCTCTAGCTATGCTGCCTGCACCGATACTCTGCTCTGTGGCGTGTGAGAGCTTTGGAGGCAACTATGTGGGTCCCTTGCTGGGCTTGGGAGCTACAGTTTCTAACCCAGGCTGTGGAATCTTCAGCTCAGAAGTCTATGTCATCTCCAGAGGTTTCTGGCATCTTGAGATCAGGGGTCTTTTTTCAGTGGTGGTGCTTGGGCCATGAGCTTCCTCCATAGGCACCATTCAGCCTTTGAGTCTGTATCCAGGTCACTGCTAAACTTCAGGTATGTTACACTCTCCCTGCTAACAGATGCTTTCACTGCCTAAACTGAATTGTAATATTCCATTATGGTTGCAGTGAGGAAGGAAAGGATTAAATCTTCTCTCTCTGCATGCTGCAAATCCCACCCCCACCCCCCACAAAAAAAACCCTTCACGCCTGTAGTAAATAAGAAAAACCAACATCAGGATTGCAAGTGGCACAATTAACACATGACGTCAAGCCCTCACTCTACAAGATGACACAAGGGAGAACAGAGAAAATTTGCTGATGACTCTAAATTGTTCAGGGTTGTTAGAACACAAATAGGATTGTGAAGAGCTCCGAAAGGACCTCTCCAAACTAAGCGAATGGGCAGTAAAATGGCAAATGCAATTTAATGTAAACAAGTGCTTTGGTCCACCACTCAACAGAACTTTAAGGAGTGAAGAAATCATCCCCTGTATTAGTGATTCAATAGCACTCTGCTAGTGAGCGCTGGCAGATAAGTCATGGAGCATTCACTTACCATCCCTGAAACACCCCTGTTGCTGAGACTTCTGCTCACTGACTGAGCCCCAAGCTGAGCCAAGATGTGCCAGTGTATCTTCAGCAGAGCTGGAGTTAGGGACTTGAGCCAGAGCTAGAGACTTGCCACATCCTAACTTACTCACCCTGGCAGATTTTGGCTTAGGATGGCCCAGTGCTATTTTTCTAGGAAAAAAGGGTGCCAGAACTTAGCACAAACACCTCCCTTGTTCTCTTATAATGGCAATGGCGCCCAGCTGAGAGGTGCCGGAACTGAGTCCTGGTGAATTCCGGCTGAAAAAAGGCCCTGGGATTGTCCTCCTTAGTATAACAAAGTCACACCACTGCTATGCCGCTCACACTGCTGTAATGATATGTAAGGGATAAGAGCCACAATAAAGGTAAAGGTAAAGGGACCCCTGACCATTAGGTCCAGTTGTGGCCGACTCTGGGGTTGCGGCGCTCATCTCGCTTTATTGGCCGAGGGAGCTGGCATACAGCTTCCAGGTCATGTGGCCAGCATGACTAAGCCACTTCTGGCAAACCAGAGCAGCGCACGGAAACGCTGTTTACCTTCCCGCCGGAGCGGTACCTATTTATCTACTTGCACTTTTGGCATGTTTTCGAACTGCTAGGTTGGCAGGAGCAGGGACCGAGCAACGGGAGCTCACCCCGTTGTGGGGATTCGAACCGCCGACCTTCTGATCGGCAAGTCCTAGGCTCTGTGGTTTAACCCACAGTGCCACCCGCGTCCCAAGAGCCACAATAACGCTTTTCAAATGTAACAGTTTGTTTTCTAATTCAACCATGAAAGCATTCAAGAGTGGGCCTTTGGACATTCCTGAATCTTGCTCCTCTTCACTGTTTAATTTCTGTGCATGTGTGTGTGTGCACACACACAAATACACACACACAGTGAAATCTGATGACCCTCTACCATCTTAGTGGGTTGTACAAGTTCAGGCATAGGTGATGCGTATTCAAGTGACATTCCTATGTATGAGCTCTGTTGTGTTCCTTACTGCTTAAGAAACAGACTCTGCATAGATTCTATACAGAACACATTCCTTGAGCAGTAATTATTATAAAAGCACGAAATAGAATTTAAGTACAAATCAAGAGCTTTCTGTTCTATCCGTTTTTGTGCAGCCTTCACTAAATTGTGGCAGCTACTTTTTCTTTTGTTTGTTTTCTGTTGCCATTTCAGGAGATGGTAAATACATTGTGCCATACCATTTTATGTTTTATAAAAAGGTGACCCTCACTTTCCATTTCAAATGCGGTTTCTTTAATGAAAATATTGTAATGTCAGTCCATGCAAAGCAAGTGCATATTAATATGCGTTTACATCTGTCTCATATTAATATTCATGCCTGAATCCACATCTCTACACAAAGCCAATTTTCTGGCCATCTGTGTGATGGCTGGTGGATGCAATGAATAAATTTTATTTGTGAGGGGAGTGATAAATCATGTATCTTCGGCTTTTTTTTCTTCTTCCTTCTTCACCCACAATCTCTGCTCTTAGGTGCTAAAATGTTTTCATCTTGGTTTGGAATTTTTAAGCAAAACCAAGCGATTAACCCCTTCACACCTTTCTGTAGTTCTGCCAGATTTTCAAAAGGACATAGGAAGAAGCTTAATGAGAAGCAGGAATGTGTGACTCTGCAAGAGCTCCTGCCACTTTAGGTACATTGTCTCCTTGTGTGTGTGTTTTTTTCTGAATTGCATCTTCTTATTTTAGGAATTCATTGGACTTGGTAATTTAGAGCTTCACTCTGGTACCTCAGACACCAAGGAGAATATACACTATTCTGGGAGTGCCAACTTTCATTGTAAAATTCTTGATCATTTCTATCGTGTGTTTCTTTTATGTCTTTCTGTCTTATCGATATTCTTACTGATATTCTTATTCTCATTCTTATTATTCCTGCTTCACTTACATGTGAGGAACTGTGGTCAAGGGTTCTTTAGAGTAAAGATTTACTGGGCTTTTACCTCAAAGCCTGTTTTCAGTGACAGGATTCAACTCTGGAACATGGAACCATTTTCATCACTTTATGTGGTGAGCAAAAGGAATTCTCTCTGCCTGGATTCCAGGGGCACATTCTCCTTTTATTGCATCAGAGATGAGCCGCAACAGTCATTAGAACAAATCTAGGCCCTAGAGTAGGAAGAGTAGCGCATTCCACTGGAAATGGGAGCAGAAATGGTCAATGTTCACTTATTTGTCCTATGTCTGGAACGGAAATCTATCCAACTAATATATTGGCATTTGCTGTTGCTTTCAGTCTGCAAACAATTGATTGTGGGTTCCCCCCCCCCCCTTTGCATTGAAATGAATGGGGTGGAATAAAGTAATGACAACATAATTTACATAATTAATTTTGTGCGTCACATAATTTTTGCCACACAGGACAACTAGATAAATAATGTAGTTTTTGGTGGAAGCTGAACTGCAATGGCATACAAACAAATGCATGTCACAAATGTAAGGTAGAATGGAAAACCTTCTGTCATTCCTGCCCTAGAACCAGCCGGCATACAAATCTGGGCTTCCATAGTGGAGGTTGAGCTCTTGGTCCATTTCCGAGCTCAGTTCAAAGTGTTTGTGTTTAAAAACTCTGCATGGCTTGGGACCCAGATGTCTGTTGAACCAGTTTCTCCCATATGGATGTTCATTCACTGAGGTCATCATCTGAAGCTCTTGTGTGAGTGCCTCTGGTGTAGTGGTTGATTCAACACATTAGAGCTGTGAGTGGGAAGTATGAGTTCAAAGATGGGTCTGGTGCTTTGGCTGATGGTGCCATGAAAGAGCATGCAATGGCGGTTGAAGAAAGAGAGCTTTCTTGATGGTGACATCTCTCAGAACAAAAAGGGGTCTACAAAAGCCCCATCTAGGCCAGCATTCTGTTTTCAAATTGGATAACCAGATGTCTATGGGCATAAGCAAAACACGAGCATAATAGCCTTTTCACAGGAAGGCCAACTGATACCTATTCTGATCTCATTTTGGTGCCAGGTGAATACCTTCTTACTTTTCCCATTCTTCTTACCTGGAAGGAGTGTCATTCTAGTTACACATCTTGAATTTGAACTACTGTGTTTTGTCATTATTTTAAGTTATGGATGTTTAGTTTCTGTTGTATTGTAGTTTCCATATTCATATTTTAGTACAAGATGTCCTGAGAACACTACCAGGTTGAAGGTGCAGGGTACAAATAAATAAATATAATTTCCAACCTTGACTGAGATCTTCTTATGAAATTTGATACGTTTAGCTTGCCTATAATGTTTGAGTGTGTGGCTGAACTGGAATTTTAATCCAAGCTGGCGGAGTTCAATGAGACTTATTCCCAGGTAAGCATATATAAGGTTGCCACCTAAGACTTTGTGTTATTCAGTGTAGAGAATCAGAATCAGCATCCATATAATGCTCCACACATCTGTGAATGAGCAAACAAGCAAGTGCCTCCATCTGCCTTCTACACATGAACCATTTTGCCAGTCTGGGTGAGATATTTAGTGATGATGAGGGGAAATACTATGCTGGATTTCCCCCCTCTGTGACCTATTATTCCCTGCTCTCAGTTACCTTCCCAACAAACTAGGAGTAAGAAAAATATACAGAAATTGGCTAAATATTAAGTCATTGGTGTCTTTCATGGCATCACCAACCAAGACACCAGACACATCTTTCATTTCATACCAATTTATATGATTCCAACTCCCAGAGCTAATGAGTTGAACCAACAGTTGTCCAGCAACTGAATGATGTAAACTTTAACCATCTCACATCTACTGAAGACAAAGATCAGTTCTGTAGCAGTACTGAAACAATAGTTTTAGTGCTCCTGTTTTAAGAAAGTGTTTCTCATCTGCAGTATTTATAACTGTATCTTAACTATGACTTTTTTAAAATTAAATTCTGTCTTTGGTTAATCTGCACCTTTTTAGTAGATCAAGATGTTTTAATCAATAAATATAAGCTATGTGGGGTTGCTGTTTGGAGGAGACATCTCTGTGTTATAATATAGGGTTCCACTCTCATTCTTTGCTCTTCAAAAATATTTGAATCTACTTTCTTTACAAATAATAATATGAAATTAAGGTTGGTAAAACCTGAAGTTTTCTGGTCCTTTCCCTGATTCTCTCTGTTTTCCTAAGGCAAATCTCCATTCCAACAGGACAGAATTTATGAAGACAACCAACGTGCATAAACATACCAAAGACATTATGATAAAATGGTTCAAGGAACCCATGAAGTGGAAGGTGAGGTGTGTGTGTGTGTGTGTGTGTGTGTGTGTGTGTGTGTGTTTAAATTTCCTTTTGGCAGGCCAAAGGCATGTCACTAGCATGTAGCCTACTTCTGCCTTTGACAGTACAACCATATGTTAGTTTTGACATTTTTTGTTCACTGAAGTTCAAAAAGGAATTTGAAATGAGCTTCGTACATCATCTGCATAATTAGCAAGAAATCATTTGTGGCTCCAATCAATGCATGCAATTTTAATAAATTGCTCTAATAACAACTCTGCAGAAATTAGACAAAGCCGTCATTGGGTCAATCAATGCTGCTCAAGAAAATAGCATTGTAATGAAACTTCAAATGACAGTGTAATTCTACTTCATTCCTTTTTTTATATTATTTAGGCAAATAATGTTTTACTGAAAATCTTTTGCAAATGGAGGACAGAGTGGTTTGAGAGATTGTTAAAGAACATAATGCCTTTCATCAGTAGATTGCTATCCGAGCTTTGTAGAAATTGAAAAATGTTACAATGTAAGGGCTAATGAGTGAAGCATAAGTTATTATCACCCTTTAAGAGGAACTCAGTTGGCAATGGGTATCTTTTTTAAAAAAAACATACTCAGTGCTAGAGCTTTTGGATCCTGGCCCAGGGGACTGTCAGAAAATATGATGAAGTGGCCTCTGGACCACAAAAGCTTAGGCTACAATAAATCAACTTTAAGGTGCCAAAACAACCTCTTTTGTTGTTTTTGCTGCAGCAGACTGACATGGCTAGCGCTCGAGATGTTCTCAGTAATAATGTGCTTATTTATGACATATTTATCTTGCTTTTCCTCCTAGGAGATCAGGGCAGTATATGGGGCTGCTCCCATTTTTATCTTCGCTAGACTGATATATAATGACTGGCCCGAGGTCATAGCCAAGTGGGAAATTGAATGCAGGTTCCCCATGCCAAGTCTGACACACTATCCCTTACGAAACACTAGCTGTCCTTTATGGGTGGTCCAGTGCCCTACTTTGCAGAGGGCAAGCACCTAATTGAATGCATCCTCTATCTGAAGAGCTGGCCATGGGCTGTTAAACATTTCTGGTCCAATTTCAAGGTGCCTGTGATTATGTTTAAAGCTACAATGGCTTGGGTCCCCAATACTTCAGTAGGCAATTCACATTTTAGTCTCTGGACTGCCTATTCAAATCATTTGGAGGGCTGCTTTCTTCTATGTTCCATCTGTGGGAGCTGTATATTATGTGGAGACATGGAGGAAGGTCTTCTGTGCTATCTCATCCTGGCTGTGGAATGTCCTCTGCTCAGTGGCTCTATCAGCGGTCTCATTCTTCTGACAACTTGACCTGGCTTTTCACTTAATTGTTTGTGGGATGTAAACTGCAATTGTATTTAATGTGCTTATGTAACCCGAATTTTAGCTTTTAAGAGGAGTGTTGATTTGATTACTGATGTGTTGCTTGTAATTTTATGGCTTGGAACCCACCCTGAAATAAGCATTGCAGTCTGAACACTGATGAGGGTTTTTATTTCCTTGCCTAGCAGCTATGTTACCAAACAAGAACTTTTAACAGAATATTGTTTGATGGAAGGTTCTTTCACACACACACACACACACACACACACACACACACACACAGCTAAGTCAGCCAGCCTTGTGAATGCAAAGATTAGAAGATTTTCATGTCTCTAGTTCCCTTTTTAAAGAGCCAACATTTTCCAAGTAGACTTTAAGAAGTTTCTCCAAACAAGAGATACAGATCTGACTTTATCGATTCCAAGTTTTTAAATAAATGTTCTGTCCAATCAAGTATAAATTATACTCAAGAACACATTTCTATGGATGCTATGTGCAAAAGCTGATTTCTTCCTCTGCTCCTCTGTTCCAGAGCAACATTTGCAACACTATACACAGAGAGATTATCTGCACTCAGTATTATTATTTTTTAGTGCACAAAGCTAGTGTACCTCGCAGTGAGATTAATTGTATGGAAAATAAAGAGGAGGTTGGTGCCTCAGTTCTGTTGTGTTTTTTTCAGTAGGAGTACAGGAAGAAGAACAGAGGAGTCTAAGCCATGAATGTGCATCCTTCATCTCACATATCTGCACTGATATTCTATACAGTCTCTAGCAAAATGTTGAAGAATGTGCTTGATTCCTTTGAAAAGTTCCCAAATTCTTGGGAAAGTTATGTGAAAGAGAAGGGCCCATGCTACTGCTATGACTCAGTATTAAAAGTTCAAATTTTGAGGGATCTTTCAGTGCTTGTAAACAAAGAGAAATACATTTGTTATTTAGAAAGTTATGGGAGGAATTTAAAAAGACAGACAGAGAGAGATTGCTCAAGAAATAACAAATAATTTCTTTTATCTAATAAATAATAATTTAAAATACTTTTATCCATTTAAAGCAGGCATGTCCAAAGTTCATTTCGGGGGCCTAATCCGATCCGCTGGTCGATTTAATCTGGCCCCCGTGGCAGTACACCCTGGGTAAAATCCTAAAAAAGCTCAGCAACTGTGGCCGGCCCTCATGCACGTTCACTTCATCAAATCTGGCCCTCTTCGGAAAACGTTTGGGCGCCCCTGATTTAAAGATAGCTGTTCATCCTTGTAGTGACTTGTAGTCAGTTTCTTGAATCAGTGGTGAGCAACAGACAACAAAAGCAACCTTTTCTTCCTCCTGTTGGTTCCTTCTTTAATAACTACCTGTTATCATGTAGATTGTGTTCCTTCCTTCCTCCTTCTTCTCCAGCCAGTCTTTCTTTCTTCGCCCTTGTGTTAGGACTCCTTTGTTCTCTTGACCTCATGACTCCGTAATGGGCATATGTGAGCTTGTGCTCAGAATGGCTTTGTTAACTTTAGCTTTCTTTTATTCTTTCAGCCAGCAGTCTTACCAGGCTCTTTATTTCTGCACACAGCTGCAATGTTTACCAAACTGTAAGCCTGTTCAGGTGACCACCTATGGGGCATGTGGAACATATGGAAAGTGGGGTTGGAACTGTGGCAGCCAGTCCCACCCAATTATTTGTGTGTTCAGTGTAGGAGGCGGTGGTGCTGTGGTCTAAACCACTGAGCCTCTTGGGCTTGCCAATTGGAAGGTCAGCAGTTCGAATCCCCATGACAGGGTGAGCTCCCGTTGCTCTGTCCTAGTTCCTACCAACCTAGCAGTTCGAAAGCATGCCAGTGCAAGTAGATAAATAGGTACCACTGTGGCGGAAAGGTAAATGGCATTTCCATGTGCTCTGGCTTCCGTCACGGTGTCCCATTGCACCAGAATCGGTTTAGTCATGCTGGCCACATGACGCAGAAAGCTGTCTGTGGACAAATGCTGGCTTCCTCAGCCTGAAAGTGAGATGACTGCCACACCCCATAGTCGCCTTTGACTGGACTTAACTGTCCAGGGGTCCTTTACCTTTACCTTAATACCCATACAACTAGGGACCAACAAATCATGGTAGCCAGACAAACTTCATTCTTACCATGACCTTGACAGAATGGCATGTCCCACCATCACCCATATTTAAAGGATAAGGCCATGGACCAAGGAAGAACATCAGAAGGTGAGAGAGAATCACCCTCAGAACCGTCCCAGACATTCACATCCCCCAGCTCTAGAAATTCCAGCACGAGAGGTGCCCTTTGGCATGCACCTCTCTGGCCTGAGGATATTATGTTGCTGTCTTCTGATTCCAAGGCCTCAAGCCCAGAAGTCCCAGTAGAACATACTCTCCCCTGTGCTGTCAGGATGAACGACTGTTAAATCAGGCTAGGTCCCTTTAACTGAAGACGCTTTGTGTAATGCGAGTGGAGCTGGCTACCAGGAAAGCATTGCAGCTCTATTTAAGGCTCAGCCTGAGTTTGCTTGAGGATGAAGCATCATCAGTTGAGCTTGTGTTTCAGCTATTCATGGAGCTATCCAGGGTGCTACTCCCACCTATGTTCTGCAAGAAATGAGGCACAGATCTGGAGGTCAGTCGCAAGAGAAGTCCACACTTCAATTGCACAGCAAGGCAATTTTGCTATAGTACACTTTTTGTCATGAGCCGAATAACTAAGAATGGGGCTCAATATATTTCATAATTATGAAGTTATTGTTTATAGAATTGTCTCATTGGTTATGCATTGGAATTATTAGTATTAGTATTAGTATTTGTTACTATGTAATTTCAGTGGTTTTGTTTAAAATGCATTTTTCTGTGTATTCTTCTAATTAATACTCTGAGACTGAAGTCTAATATCTCAGTTAAAGAGTTGTAGTGTTTATTCTGTACTCTCCAATAGGAATATGCCTTATTCTAAGTAAGATCGTCAGCCCAGGGTTTTGTCTGCGCTGACTGGCAGTGATATTCCAAGGTTTCATACAAGGGCACTGGCAGAGGAAGAGGAGTGGGGGGGGAGCGCACCCCCCTGACAGCGCGATCCCAGTGGGGTGTCATTGCAGCTGCCCTGCCCGCGCTGGATGCCACGTCCCTGCAGGCAACGCGCCCCACCCCCGGGACATGCATCAGCCCCGCCCCCACCTGCTCTCCACCCCACCCCCAGTGCCGGAGCATGAAGCTCCGCCACTGTACAAGGGTCTCCTGTGCGGGGATGCTGGGGATCGAACCACAAACTCATTGCATGAAAAGAAAATCCACTAGCAATAAGCTATGGCTCTTCCCCAATAATAAAGGGTGACATTCCCTCTCAAGTCTTGTGCCATGTTGTGACACTAGTTCTCAGCCTGCAAAGAGAAAGATACTCTTAGGAAACTGATGAGCATTTCTCAACCTGTTGGTCCCAGATGTTGTTGAACTACAACTCCCATCACCCCTAGCTAGCAAGGCCAGAGCTCAGGGATGATGGGAGTTGTAGTCCAACAACATCTGGAGACCCACAGGTTGAGAACCGCTGATAGACGAAGCAGGATGAGGGGGAACTAAAATGTCAAAGTCAGTCTCAGCATCAGAACCTGGCATCCTAACACCTTCACCAGGCCCTCCACACTGGGCAGCTGGGTATGCCAGCCTTTCAATTTCCCACAATGCTCTGGAGTGACACTACTGCATAGATAGATAGATAGATAGATAGATAGATAGATAGATAGATGATAGATAGAGCCTGAGAAATTTTGTGTGCTGTGAGGAGTTAAAATGGTGGCTCCCAGCCAGTCTTGGAGTACTGTTCCAACTGGGACCCATTAATTTAAGTGGTGGCTTATTAGAAGGCACTTTGCCCAAGACCTTCCAATCCTAAACTGGCCCTGACCACTGTGGTGCTCTTTGAACTGATTGTCAGCATAACCCCTCAGCCATCTGTCTCCTTGGATCCATTCACTGAAGGATCAGTGGTAGTTTGCCATTCTTCCCCGCTCCCACTTGCAGGTGGCATAGAAATCTATGGATTAAAATCTCTGCACTGTAACTTTGTATGCATTTCGCTGGATGTTGCTGTGAATAATTCTGCTTCTTTCCAAGTACAGTGATCCTGTGTGGGGTGTAAATTAAGGACAAATTTCCTTCTTGATTCATCGTTGCATATGTTCTATTCTTTTCCACCGATGCCTCTGCTCTGTTTATGCCCTCAAAAAGATGTTTTATTCATGGATCTGTACATAATTGCCCCTGCCTGTGCTCCAGGAGCTATTCAAACACCTTCTGAATATACATCTAATTTTAGAATGTTTAGGATTGCTCAGATGTTAACCGTGCCAGGTATGGAGGATTTTTGATGGCACGACAATAAAACAATTAAACAGAAGTCCATGAGTTCAGTGTCTGAAGCATAATAATCACTTTCCAATTGCAAAACACACAGATGTATCTCAGCATTAGCAGACTGTTGATTGCTGTAACTGGCTCTATTAGGGATGGGGTTTTTCCCCCCAAAGCCATCTTGTGCGCTTGTTTTTCCCCACCCCTTTTTTAAAAACTTGCATAGCTGTAAAATAGAATTGTTTTTTGGGGAGGGGGGAAGAAATTACCGGACCTCCATTTTCAAATATTTCCAAAGGGACTGTGCCGTCTCGTGCTGGAAACTTTGTCATGCTGTCAATTATACCATCAAAATGTAAGATTTATTTTTGTCTCTTCAGTGCAGCTGGAAGGGAATAAGATTCTGCTAAGGCAGGCATGCAAATGTATAGCCGTGGTATACAATAAAGCGCCTAATTAGTTCAGAGATGGCATTTCTATCCATTCCGATGTGCCAGCAGGTTTAAGGGGTGGGGTAGGCATTTGCTTGTTTTGAATACATAGAGCACGTCTCTCTCCCCCCACCACCATCGGCCCTGATTAGATTCCACTCACATTTCACAGAGAAAACTACATCTGCTCCATCAGTGCTATAAAATAGGTATTTCCTCGGGGGTATGTAAAGCATATATAAATCTCAGCTTCTGCTTCAGATTTGCATAGATACTGGCACGCAGGTCAGCAGCGCATTTAGTTTTCTTTGTAACTGTGGCGAGTTTTCAGTGGTCTAATGAGATTGTGGGCATTTCTGCTTACATGTGTAAAGTGTGAGTGCAGCCGTGAATAGGACCCCGCAGTATTCTCCAAATCTCGTGGTTTAGGTCCTCGGTATTTGCTGGTGTAGAAGAAAGGGAGAGGAAAAATGCCCCGCTAGTTTTCGGATGACCTTACAACCCAAGAGGCACATATAAAGATTAAAAACCACATCTAAAACAAACCCTGTGGTGCAAGGTTTCTGTTTCGTTTTTGTTTATTCAACCATGTGTTTTGTTGCAGTTAAATGATGCTTTGGAGAGGAAAAAAAGGACCTTTTCTGACTGTAAGTGAGACTTTTGCCGCAGCTTCTCAAGGAATTCCCCCTGTAGCAATCCTCTCGGTAAGCCATTAGCTGTGCACATCTGCCCACTCTAATGACCGCGCCAGTGTACACATACCTGACTGCCATCTAATTTAGATATCACCCACAGGACACAAATGCTGGTGTCTCATGGGCCAGTTAAATCCGGGATTATTGACCAGCTACAGTTATCGCTTCATTTGGCTTTGGGGTGGGGTGGGGGGGCTGAAGCACGTGGACCTGAGGTCACAGGTAGGTCAAATGCTGATAAATATGGCGGGGGAAGAAAGCTGGAAGGACATGTTTTCTCTCTTTCTCTCTCTCTCTCTCTCTCACACACACACACCTTCCTTTCTCACAATGGCTGAAAGCCAAATTGACAGTGCTCTTCCAGCCCAGTCTTCTGAAACTTTGCCCGTTCACCATATCCTGGATTGTTTATTAAAGGCAGATTTGTCAAATTAGCTATATTGATCTCAGGAGACAAGTCCTGGCCTGCTGCTGTCAAAACACAGCAACCTTGGCCAGCTAAGCATCCAACACTGCAGTACTATGCTGGTCTACTCCAGAGTAAGTCCTATGACATTCAATGGGGCCCATCTTCTAGGTAAGTATGCGTAGGATTGCACTCCCAACAGAATTCTTCAGAGGACACGAGGGAGGTTCAACAGACCCGCCTGGTGCTCTAAAACTCAGAAATGTGATTACAGGCCTCCCCTTTCCTCCCTTGGCAAGTAGGCCATTGCTAAGGTTTCCATGACAACCAACCAGGAAGTAAAACAACAACTTGGAAGATAGTTGCTTATTTTGCTTTATGCCACTTGCCAGAGTTAAAACTTGCCATAGTTAAAACTCCTACCACAATTTGATGGCTTTAACAGTGTAGGATAACACTATGTCAATCATAAAAATGTCCTTGGTGACTACTACCATACTCTGGAAACCAGGCAAGGATTTCTGGTATGTTAAAATGCATACTTTGCTAAGTCCACAGTTTGTGACTGCCTCGGGATTTCAATGCCGTTATCTTCCATTCATTTCCATATTGTTTAAGGACTAGTCTGAGGCTTCTCATATTGTTTGTGCCTTCCTCTGTCACCTTTCATCTATGTCCTTTTCAGCACAGAGGCAAGCAGAGGAGGCCAAGAAAGGAAGCATTATTTTCCAATCAATTCTGCCCACAGGATTCAAACATATGCCTCTGGCAGACTCCCTATCCCGTGTTGTTCCACTCTTATTCCTTCTGACTTCTGGGCCATGATTTCACTTCCCTGCTTGGAAGGGGCAAAGGACGTTTCTGAGATGCATAGGGAAGCGATCCCAGATTGCCTTAGGCAGTGGGTCTGAAGACCCTCTTCCTGCTTCTAAAGCATGTAAGACCTTGGGCTACGCTGTTCCTCAACTTCAACCTTCTTGATCCTTCTAGCCCAAAACATCTCAAGCCAGGGCACTTCCCTCCATCCAGTTGCAGTCACTATTAATGTTTCTGCCATTCCAGCCTAGGGTCTTTCTGGAAAAGTCCAGTCTCTAGGCTACAATTATGACAGAAAGCATTAACTTGTAATGGAGAAGTCTCTTAAGCCCATTTAACTTGAAACTCTCAAGATTTCATACATTTATAGGGATATACACACAGGACTCAAGGCAATGACCTTTTTACTTTCAGTGCATCTTAGATTCAGCCTTCCATTCCAAAGGAACATTCCTGTGATGGGATGATGAGCTGCTTGTGCGTAAAATCGTATCCCCTCAGAGTTTGTTCAAGTCCACAAACCTCTGTCTGTGACGGAGCCCCTCAGACATGGCTACTCTAGTCACTAGCAGATTCCGACAGTGGTTGCTTTCGTAATCGCTTCCAACATAAAAGCTCCTTAACGGAAACCCGTCTTCTGGAATCTCTGCGTGACAGTTTCCGGCGAGGAGTGGGTGTTCTTACAGGAGGTCCTGAAACTTCCCCACTGTTTTCGCTGGAAGTGTCTCTGAGCCATCCCTCCAGCTCAGCTCCTCTCCCCCTGCTGGTTCCCTCTTCAGCTGCTGCGTCTCTCCCAACCTGTGTGAGCCCTTTCACCTCCCTGTTGGTTCCCTCTTCAGCTGCTGCGTCTCTCCCAACCTGTGTGAGCCCTTTCACCTCCCTTCCGTCCGATGGCAGTTCCCTGACATCCACCTCCCCTCCAGGGCCCCCTTCACCCCCTCTCGCCCCCTCCTCTACGGGCGGTGAGGAGGCAAAACCCCGGAATGAACTTCCTTCATCTTCCGATGTCTCGAACACTTCTCTCAACCTGTTGCGGTTCCTGGTCTCGAAGTACACCTCCTCCTCAGAGTCCATCTCCCCTCCCCTTCCGAGTCCGGGAATCCTTCCAACTCCTCCCCTTCATCAGTGGTCCCAAAGTATTCCCTCCGGAACCTCTCCACAGGCTGAGGTTTCCTTGGGAACCTTTGATGGAACGTTTCTATCAATACCTCGTCATTGATATCTTCAGCCATTACCCAAGTGTTTTCTGACTCCGGTTCTCCTTCCCACGCTACCAAATACTCCACCTGATCCCCCTTCCACCTGGCGTCGAGGATTTCTGCCACATGGCTGCTGCATTCTCTTTCTTCTACGACCGGTCCCCGAGGGGCCAGCCCTTCTCGTCCCCCTTCGTACGGTGACAGTAACGACCTGTGAAATACTGGGTGCAGTTTCATGTGGTTGGGTAACCGGAGCCTGAAAGCCACTGGGTTGACCTGTTGAATGACCTCAAAGGGACCCAACCTCCTGGGTCTTAATTTCTTACAACCTCCTTTGAACGGCAACCCTTGGGTTGACAGCCACACCCTATCTCCCACCCTTATGGTTTCACCTTCCCTTCGGTTCTTGTCTGCCTGCCTCTTGTATTCTTCCTTCGCCCTTTCTAAGTTGAGTTGGAGCTGACGATGGATTGCTTCCATTTCTTCCACAAAATGCTCGGCTGCCGGGACGCTCCATCTCTCCCCTCTCCCCTGGGAAAGCCCTGGGATGACACCCATAATTAGCCAAGAAGGGGCTCATCCCTGTGGACACATTCTCGGCATTGTTGTAGGCAAATTCCGCCAGCGCCAACTTTTCTACCCAGTCATTCTCTCTGTCATTGACATAACACCTCAGGTATTGCTGGAGGACACCGTTTGCTCTTTCCGCCTGCCCGTTGGTTTCAGGGTGCCGGGCAGTCGAAAAATTGACCTCCACCTGCAGTAAGCTCATGAGCTTCCTCCAGAACCTGGAAGTAAATTGTTTTCCTCGGTCTGAGACCACCCTCAATGGCACCCCGTGCAACCTAAAAATGTTTTCTACAAATAACTTCGCTGTCTCTTCCGCCGTGACTGCATGCGAGCAAGCTACAAAGTGGCACATCTTTGTTAGTAGGTCTACCACCACCATGATGGCTGTTTTCCCTTTGGACTTCGGCAGATCAGTCATAAAATCTATCGACACTGCCTCCCAAGGTCGTTCTGGGGTTGGTAAGGGTTCTAATAGCCCCGCCGGCGCCCGCCTTTCCCCTTTGGCTCGCTGGCATTGCTCGCACCCTCTTACATACTCACGTACATCTTCCCTCACCTTAGGCCACCAAAATTCCCTGGTGACCAACCACATGGTTTTGTGTTGTCCAAAATGCCCCGCCGTAGGGCTGTCGTGCAACTGCTTGAGTACCCTCCCCTTAACTCTCCTTCAGGGATATACAGTGCCCCTTTGTAATACAAAGCTCCATTTCTTTCCTCAAAACCCCTGGTTCCTCTCCATCACCCCTAAGACCTCTGAGCTTATTCTGGGCGTATTCATCATTCTCTGTTTCCTCTACCAGTTCTCTTTGTCCCACCAATGCCGCCCCACACACCCAGCGGTCTTCTGGAATGACATGTCTCTCTTCGGGTGCCCCTCCCTCCAAATATTCAGGTTTGCGTGAGAGAGCGTCCGCCCTAATGTTCTCTGGGCCTGGCACGTAACTAATCTCAAAGTTAAATTTGGAGAACTCCTGGGCCCATCTCACTTGCCGTTGGTTGAGCACTCGTGCCGTCCTCCAATACTCTAGGTTCTTGTGGTCAGTGCACACTTGCACCTTATGTTGTGCGCCAATTAGCAGGTGCCTCCATCTCCGGAACGCCTCATGAATGGCTAGTAGTTCTCGGTCATACACCGTGTAGTTCCTCTCGGATTTGTTCAGCTTTCGCGAAAAAAGGCACACGGTCTCCACTCTAACCCCTTCTTGCCTGGCTGCAGAAGCACCGCCCCAATCGCTCTGTCTGATGCGTCAGTTTCCACTCTCATCGGTTTTTGTAAATCCACATGCAGGAGTTGTTGTTCCGAGGCGAAGGCCCTTGTTAGTTCCTCAAATGCTCGCTCCGCCTCCTCAGTCCACACGAACTTCTTCTTACTGCTGAGACAGTCCGTAATGGGCGCCGTCAGGTGGGCAAAGTTTCGGATGAACTTACGATAGAAGTTCCCAAATCCTAGGAACCTCTGCACATCCTTCTTTGTTTTGGGTGTTTTCCATTCCAGCACCGCCTGGACCTTGCCGGGATCCATGGCCAATCCTTTGTCTGACAGGCGATACCCCAGGAATTCCACCTCCTTGGTATGAAACTGACACTTCTCCAGTTTCACCCACAGCTGGTTGGCTTGCAGCCTGCTCAACACTTCTCTGACGTCTCTCACATGCTGCTCCTCATTCTCAGAATACACCAACACGTCGTCTAAAAAGGCCACACAATTCTTGTAAAGCAAAGGCCCCAGGACGTGGTTCATAAACGATTGAAATGTTGCGGAGCCTGCTTGTAGGCCGAAGGGCATAACCAAATATTCAAATGCCCCTAAAGGGGTGAACATAGTGGTTTTCCATTCATCCCCCTTCCTTATTCGTACCAGGTTGTACGCCCCCCTTAGGTCCAGCTTTGTGAAAATCTTTCCCTTCCGCACCCTTGTCAAAATGTCGTCAATCCTGGGCATAGGGAAGGCTACTGGTTCTGACACTGCATTTAAGGCCCTGAAGTCACACACCAGCCTCGGCTTGTTCGTGTTTTTCTTATCCACAAAAACACTGGGCTGCCCCCACCGCCCTGGACTCTCTGATGAACCCTCTCTTCAGGTTCTTGTCAATGAACTCTCTTAACTCCTGCATCTCTCTGTCTGACATGGCGTACAGCTTGCCTACAGGGAGCTGTGCTCCAGGGAGTAAGTTGATTTGACAGTCAAAGGGTCTATGCGGGGGTAGTTGGTCAGCTTCCCTTTCGCTGAAGACGTCACGGAGATCTGCATATTGTCGTGGTACCTTCACGTTCTCTGTTACTTCAGTCCCTGCTAGGGTGGCTTGGACCCCTGCCAAACCCTTTCCCTCTTTGCAGTGTTCTAAGCAATGTGCTGAACCAAAAGAAACCACTCTCTGATGCCAGCCCACCAGCGGATCATGTAACGCTAGCCAGCTCATCCCCAATATAATGGGAGCTCCTCCCAAGGTGGCCACATTAAAAGCTATCAGTTCGGTGTGCCTTGCTACCTTCATTATCATTGGGACGGTCTGCAAGCTGACTTCTCCACCCAACAGCTCCCTGCCATCGATAGTGGTCACCTGCAGGGGGCTGCTTAAAGGGATTGTCTGTATCTGGTGTTCAGCTGCAAACTCTTTGCTCATGAAATTGCAGGAGCTGCCTGAGTCCAACAGCGCCTTTATCTTTAGAGGGTGTCCGTTTGGCAGCTCTAGCGTCACTTCTATCACTAGGGCGGGTTTAGGAGGTTCTGGCGTGGGCACTCTCACTGCTCTTTGGCCTGGCTGCTGTGCCCTGACAGTGGCAGCCAGGCGTTGGCTTTACTTGCTCCGGTATATTTTCCTCTCTTCCATCCACAGCTCCTACCATCCCTTGCCATTCTTTCCTCTGGGGGCAGACTCTGGCAAAGTGACCTGGCTGTTGGCAGAGATAGCATTTCCGGGCGCCTTTTCCCTCCTTCTTTGCCCCCTCACTGGGCTTTGAAACTGCGCGCGCGCGCTGTTCCGATTTCCATCGGCTCTGCCGGTGGGAAAGTTGGCTCTGGAATGTCTGGAATGCGGAACTCCTTCCAACGTTCCCCTTTCCCTTCCCGCCTCTCCAATGCTCTCGCCTCCTGGCGCGCTCCTATGGCCAGCGCTGATTTGGTCAGCTGGTCCATAGACTCCGCCCTGGGCGCCCGGGAAAGTTCGTCTTTCACAGCCGAAGAAAGCCCTTCTTCAAAGAGCATCTGAATGGGTTCCGCCGATAAGTCCCACCCCAATCTGTGAACAAGCATGGTGAACTCAGTCCAGTACTCACGGACAGATCGGCTTCCCTGTTTGCAACCCATTAACTGTCTGCGCACCACTCCCTTTTCAATATCGCTGGAAAACATCAGATCCATGGCGCGAAAGAACTTCATCGTGTCCTTTAAGACGTCACTATTAGCTGCCATCAGGGTCTAACCCAGTCTCTCGCCCCCTTTTCAAGATGCTCAATCACGAAAGCCACTCGTGATTCCTCGTCAGGGAATTCATCAAACTGCAGATTGAGGGCATATTGCATTTCTGTCCGAAAACCATGATAGTTTTTGGGCTCCCCAAACTTCTGCACCAATCCTGGTACCTTTCTGGCAAACTGGGTGGCTTTCCCCCTTTTGTCTGCATCCTGAGCCCTCCTCTCCTCAAGCCTCGCCGTCTGCATCGCTAGCTGGACCTCCAACATCTGGTACCTTTCTTCCAGGCTTGGACCCGCTCCAGCTCCTGCTTCTCCGGTTCCGGCTGGGTTGCTCATGATGCCTTCTCCTGCACAAGCTGCTTTCAAAGACTGTCGGAATGCTGTGATGGGATGATGAGCTGCTTGTGCGTAAAATCGTATCCCCTCAGAGTTTGTTCAAGTCCACAAACCTCTGTCTGTGACGGAGCCCCTCAGACATGGCTACTCTAGTCACTAGCAGATTCCGACAGTGGTTGCTTTCGTAATCGCTTCCAACATAAAAGCTCCTTAACGGAAACCCGTCTTCTGGAATCTCTGCGTGACAGTTTCCGGCGAGGAGTGGGTGTTCTTACAGGAGGTCCTGAAACTTCCCCACTGTTTTCGCTGGAAGTGTCTCTGAGCCATCCCTCCAGCTCAGCTCCTCTCCCCCTGCTGGTTCCCTCTTCAGCTGCTGCGTCTCTCCCAACCTGTGTGAGCCCTTTCACCTCCCTGTTGGTTCCCTCTTCAGCTGCTGCGTCTCTCCCAACCTGTGTGAGCCCTTTCACCTCCCTTCCGTCCGATGGCAGTTCCCTGACAATTCCTAAGAAACTGATAAGAAATTACAGGCAAAGAAGCTCTCTCTGTAGCATTGCCATGGCTCAGTTGTTCACAATGTTAATCAATGGCTCATTAAGCGGATCATCCGTATTTCATATACTGGAAATGTAAGTCATGGGCACTTGCCATGGTAGTAGAGTCTGAGACCAGTTTTCTACCATATAGTGTGTATGCTGTAAGAGCAGATGAGAAAGGGGCAATTTTGAATTTGACCACAGAGTCACATTGAGTGTGGTGCCGCATAGCACCTAAGCACTCTCAAGGCAGTGCCTCAGCTCATGTAGAGCGGGACATGAGGACTGGGACATTCGCAGGGAAACCAAAATGCTTGTGTACAAAGCTATTGTACTACCAAACATACTATATGCTTGTGAAACATGGACCACTTACAAACACCATCTCCAACTCCTTGAAAGATTCCATCAACAGTGTCTCTGAAGAATTATACACATCACTTGGGAAGACAGGCAAACTAATGCCAGTGTACTGGAAGAAGCAAAGATCACCAGTGTTGAAGCAATGATTCTTCAACATCAACTTCTTTGGATTGGTCATGTTGTGCGGATGCCTGATTATTGTCTTCCAAAGCAACTACTCTATTCCGAACTTAAAAATGGAAAGCATAATACTGGTAGTCAACAAAAGAGGTTTAAAGACTGTCTCAAGGCAAATCTAAAAAAATGTAGTATAAACACCGATAACCGGGAAACACGGGCATATGAGCACTCCAATTGGAGAACAGCCTTTACCAAAGGTGTCATGGGCTTTGAAGACGCTCAAACTCAGTACAAAAGGGAGACACGTGCTAAAAGGAAGGCACATTTGGCAAACTCTCACCGTGATCAACTCCCGCCCGGAAACCTATGTCCCCACTGTGGAAGGACGTGTGAATCCAGACTTGGCCTCCACAGTCACTTACAGACTCACTGTTAAAACCGTGTTCATGGAAGACAATCTTACTCAGCTACGAGTCATCGCCAAAGAAGAAGAAGAGACCCTTGTGTGTGAGGACTGGGCACTTAATTCCAAATAAAAAACACTATTTAAACCAGGAACCTGTGGCCCTCCAAATGTTGTTGGACTCCAGCTCCCATCATCCCTAACCATTGACCACACTGGCTGTGGCCAATAGGAGCTGGGGGGCCACAGATTTCCCACCCCTCATTTAAAGTCAAGTTTACCAGTAATACTGAAACTGGCACCATTGTGGTGCCTGGAGCTTAAACAACTCTGCTGAAAGCAACAAGAGCTTTTGTGCAGTTACACATCCCTACCTGGAAGGCCAGATCCAAGAACTGTATCAGGCACCAAGGATTCCAGCTTCCTTTTCTTTATGCATCTAATTAGTCTTGTGCAGAAGCAATTTAACCAGAATAAATTATTGTGTCTTCTTGGAAATATGTCTGGCAGGTGCACCTTCATCCACAGAAGATTTAGCAGAGGCATCATTGTTCAGATTGCTGACACCTGGCTGTTTATTATTTAACACAGTCCAATAAGAGTAATGGCAAAAATGAGAATCAATTTTGGAAAAGATAAATGCATTAGACTCTGGGCATGTGTAAACTTAACATTATCCAGCTGCACTGTAGACATTAAAGAATTATAAAACCCAGTTTTGGCTGAAATTCAAGAGTCTGCAAACGTAATGTCCAATGGACCTATTTAGTAATTATGGAGAGAAAACAGCCAATCACCTTTGTACCTGAATGGTATAATCTTTTTTAAAAAAATTAAAGCAATAAAATTTAATGTAAAAGTACTTCTTCAGTGTTGAGATACTTGCCTAATGATCCTTTGATTAATCTTAGATAATGTTTTATCATTTCATCTATTTATCTATCTTCTATTAAATATTTCTGCTCCAGTCCCACAGTGGTAAAGTACATTTTCCCTGGGGATGAGGGAGGACCGTTGTTCTCAGCCAAAATGGGTTTCTCTAGTACAACTTTTCAAAATTTCAGTTATTCCTCACAGTCACAGATTCGGGCCATTCTGTTTGCCAGCTGGCCTGTGACAGGTTTAAAGTAAATTCCAGCATTCGCTATTCATAGCACTTTGCCCAATCTTTGATCTACGTATCACAGTAAGTGATTCAGACATTTCCATAATATAGTTTTCATCAACAGGATTCAAGATTAGGATTACTTATTCCTTAGAAATCCTAAAGTGCAAACTCAAAGAACAAACAAACAAACAAAGACGTAAGAAAAAGTGAGTTAATTTTAAAAGGTCATATTGTTACTATGCAAGGTCTCCAATTTCATGAGGGAAAATTAATTTTTAAACAAAACAAAAAAAAAGTACATAGGATTATTACTTTAATGGGCACAGGCTACCCACTGTTTGGTAAATAGAGCTTTTGCACAGCCATGATATAAAACTCCAGGAAGCAACAACATAAAAGGCGAGGTAAATCATTTGTCATCATTTTAATTTATGTTTTTCCTACAATTCCAATTATAAAATTCCATATAGGAGAGGATGATCACAGCAGGATCACAAAGGTTCCGTCACAGATCCCAGCTGCTTTACCCATTCGCATACCCCAACCACACTCAGTTATGTAATGGTCTTCCAAACAAATTTCCCTTTCTTTTGGACTCGAGACTCTGATAAAGTCACAACAGAATTATGACACCTAAATAAGACACAGTATCAAAGGAGGGGTCCATGGAGAGTTTGCAGCAAAGGGCTATTCAAAAAGACCTGTTTATTCAGCATGGTTTGCTCACACAAAGATTATGCAAAGGTTAGATTATACTTGGTCTTAATTGCAAGATCCTTATACATCTTCCCATTAGTGATTTGTTTATTACACATTTTTCAATGCCTTTCTCCATCACTTCCCTAGCTGCAAAAAGACCAATTCTTTTTTTTAAAAGTGGATTTGTTGTGCTAGGACAGCAGAGCACTTGAACTCACTTAACTTTGCAAACCTAAACTTGAATCCCTCCCACAATGTATGGCTACTGGTTTGTAACTACTGTTCATCTGATTTCACCGAGAACTTGAAATGGCTGAAGGAGATGGAACGACTCCCCTGTGAGGAAAGATGACAACATTTGGGGATTCGTAATTTAGAGAAAAGGCAAGTAAGAGGCAACATGATAGAAGTGCATAAATTTGTTTTTCTTCCAGAGAAGGGGTGATTGAAGATCTACATCAGGAACAAGGGGGGTGGGAATAAACATCTACTGTACATTGGGAAGAAGGGTAGGAGGAGCCCAGCATTGCTTCCCATTTGCCAGTTGATGGCACATGTTCCCCTGGCCTGGTCTCCCTTCCTTCTGCCTTCCCTCAAGACATTTTGACTTTGTACGCATTGCAGACTTTGTACACATTACGGGCTTAAAACACAGGTTGTTCTTTTTCTCAGTTCAGATCAAAGATGGGGGGAAAATGCAGCAAAATGCAGCATTTCATAAGAACCTTGTGTATATACTGCTTCCCAAATCAGCAGTTGCAGACCCTGCAAGTGTCCCTAATTTCCAGGGATAGTCCCGGTTTTATAGAAGCTGTCCCGGTTTCTGTTTTGGTCCCGGAATGTCCCACTTTTCCTTAGGACTTCCCTATTTTCATCAGAGAAATGTTGGAGGGTATGGAGTTATCCAGTCCCCAAGCCATCTGAAGGCAGCCATGTATAGGGAAGTTTTTTTAATGCTTAATGTTTTATTAGGCTTTCATATATGTTGGAAGCCGCCCAGAGTGGCTGGGGCAACCCAGTCAGACGGGCAGGTTATAAATAGTAAAATTATTATTAATAATATGATTATGGAATACAGTAGGACGTTCCCATTTTCATCAGAAAAATGTTGGAGGGTATGCTTGGCTTGCACTGGAGACAGAGTAAGCAGGTGTAAGTAGGCCCAGAGAGGGAAAGAGAGAGGGGCTGACCCAACAGTTCTCTCAGGCTGTTGATGGTTCTGTCAGGAGCTGATGGTATCTGCTTTCTGGCCTGGCCTATCTCCCTTCTGCAGATTTCTTGTGCTGATTTCTTTATTTCTTTTTTAGCACAAGAGTCTCTGCAGCCTTATCGGTGCAGGTCTCTAGCAGTGACAGAGCTCACTTTCAAGAGTGATAAGGCTCAATCTAAACAAAACAAAAATGCATTCTGAGGGGCAGCTTTACTGAGGGGGGGTCACAGTGATTTCTATTTTCAGCATGTACGGCTTCCAGGGCTTCTTCATTTCTAACATGAGAATTCTGTGTAAATTCCTCATGCAGAAGGCCTGTAGCTTCAGAAATGATATCTTTACTTTGCAGGCAGAGATCAGGCTTAAAACCGCTAATCTCATTTGAAAAGCTAATCTTCTTTGAAAGAGAACTGTACCTCACCAGAACAAATCTTATGTTTTACGTCTCCACAGTGTAGGATTGCACCTATAGCTGGGCAGATCCCACTGAAATGTAACCTATTAAAAACTGGTGGTTTAGATGCAACACAAAATTGTGCTTTGAACCAACTGTGGATACCAAACCATGATTTGTGTTTTAGGCATACAGACAAACCATGGTTTCCCACGTCCCCTTGATGCTATCCCCAAAAGTGGCCTTTAAGGTCCCAAAAACAACGGTTTGGTTTGTAATATCAAGCAACTTCAAACCATAATATCAGTTCCTGCTTGCTGGTCACTCACAAACCATGACTTGCCGAATGGTATTGATTCTAATACCCCAAGTAACTATAGTTTTGCATTGTGACCAATTATTTCTTGAGTTTGTATCATGTCACAGAAACCCACACTGAGGAGCGGCTAGAGCAAGATGATAGGGGGAATATTCCAACCGTACAAAAGACTGACCAAGAGGAGTCTTAAACCCTTACGCACATTCAGTTGCTACAGCTACCATTTTGTTTCTAACTCAAAGTATCAGAGCCAGAAACCAGAGGAAAACTGCTAGACTGCCTGAAAGGTTTCCCATTTGTCTACTGTGTAATTATTTTACTATTAAAATAGCACACATACAGAGCACCTTCAACTCACAAGCGCACCCCTCTCCAGAAACATCATTTTTGGGTTTCCCCTCAACCCTCCCTATCAGACTTAGGGTGGGGGTTATACAGAGAGAGGGAGTCCCACTGCACAGGCCGAAGTCCTTGCATTAGTGGGACAACTTAGTTGGATACAACCCAATATGTTTATGTTTCATGGTGGTCAGAGAGTCAGATAAGGACTGAGGAGGTCAGGGTTCAAATTTCCACTCAAATATAAAACTGATCTGGGAATCCTGGAGCAGTCATCATCTCTCAGCTGAACATACCTCACAGAATACCTGTGGTGGTTAAAACTGAGAGTGGGGAAAGTAGCCTGTATGCCTTCTTGAGGTCATTGGACGGAACATAAGGGGTATAAGGCTGTGTACACAGCATATATTGAAAACACATTTAAAGGATGCTGTCTCTCATACACACAGACGGAGGGGGAGAGAGAATCCTGGGAACTGCCGTTTACCTTTCATAGAGCTACAATTCTCAACACCTTTAACAAACTGCAATCCTTGGTTTCAAGGGAAACTTTAAGTGTGTGGTGAGTTTGCAGCCTAAATGTAATAAACAAATTGGATCTATATCTGTGCAAAAGTCAAAACATGCTCGATCTCACTATTGTTTAATTTGCCGCCTTAATGAGAACATTGTTGGTATGTTTTATTCCTCAAAACTGAGCAACTGCAACCCAGGGCAATTTTTTTTTCTATTACAGCATACGTATTTTAAGCTTAATTTGCAAATAAAGAAAAATCAATGAAGGATTAAAATCCCACATTATCCAAAACGATGCAGAAGTATGTATATATAATTTTTCCTGTATGAATCAATAAGTATTTCCCCAACCATCATTTATTAATAGGTTTACCATCTGCATTCAGATCTCAGTTCCACCAATTAATAGACAGGAGTCTGACAGCAGTGCGCATATGATTTGCAGAACAAGAAAAAAGAAACCTGATAAGCAATTCATTTAACAGCAAGCAATTCAAACCCAAGACAAAAGAGACTGTAAGAATAGATTTGTTGTTAAGCCTTAAATAATTATAGTCAGATGAGAAAGAATTCACATTCATTTCAAAAGCTGACCTTTAGAAAGAAAACAGAATTAAATGAGGGGGAGATACATCTCCTCTATATTGATTTGCACAAGATAATACAAGGAATCAATTTGTGTGTTTTTTTCTGCTGTTGCTCCAGTGACTTCTTTCAGCTTTGAGACAGGGAGATTCAAATCTGCAAAGGAAATAAGAATTCAGGTGAATATGCAACACCTTTGTTTTGTTTAAGGATAGGCGGACTTACCAAATAGGTTGTAAAATATATACCAGTTCAATAAATGTTTGTTTGGCTGCTTCCATTGTCTGAGGCAGTATACCTCTGAATACCAGTTCCTGAGAATCACAAGTGAAGAGTGCAGCAGGTCCCAGGCCTCCTCTGTGAACTGGCCTATTGCAGGCCGGATCGGCCTTCTGCCGCCAAATTGACCGATGGCGGCAGGAACCAGAGAGCATCCCCCTGGGCATAGGACCAACTGACCAATAGCAGTGCTTGGCCCCACGTCCAGGGCAAGGATAAATCCCCAGCCTGTGGGGCCTTTCGGCCTCCCTCTTGCAAAATTCCCACTAAAACGCTTTTTTGCACCTCCTAAAGGTAAAGGTAAAGGGACCCCTGACCATTAGGTCCAGTCACGGATGACTCTGGGGTTGTGGTGCTCATCTTGCTTTATTGGCCGAGGGAGCCGGCGTACAGCTTCCGGGTCATGTGGCCAGCATGACTAAGCTGCTTCTGGCAAACCAGAGCAGTGCAACGAAACGCCATTTACCTTCCCACCGGAGCGGTACCTATTTATCTACTTGCACTTTGTGCTTTCAAACTGCTAGGTTGGCAGGAGAAGGGACCAAGCAACGGGAGCTCACCCCGTCACGGGGATTCGAAACGCTAACCTTCAGATTGGCAAATCCTAGGCTCTGTGGTTTAGACCACAGCACCACCCGCGTCCCTTTGCACCTCCTATTAGGGGCCAAACTAGAGATTATTCACATAAAATTTGGCCTTGCATGCAGCGATGGACAGCACGGCAGGGCTGCATCACTTACCTGACCTCCCTCTGGCTGAGTCATGGCTACATACATTCCAGTTCTATAGCCGGAAGTTGCACCACACTGATGCCTTGCCCCTGGGCCTCTCCATCCCAGTGTGCAGTAGCGACTGGTGGTGATGCCTATCCAGATAGCAAATGTTCCTGAATATGTTGCAGTGTTTCTCCACCTCATTTGCAGTTGTGATTCAAGGACCCGCCAGCCGCTTGAGAATAAGAAAGACACATGGACACAGTATATTAGGTTAATGGACTAAAAAAGGCCACAACTATATCGATTACAGCATGTGAGAGGTATTGGCTTAGGCATTGGATAAAACAGAGCGTGACTCCACCCCCTTGGGGAGGGGTGAGTCTATCAAGGGTTAACCACCAGTGGGAGGAGCCTGTTGATGCAAATACAACTGAAAGCTCCCCCTGATGTCACCGGGGGTCCTGCCATGATCCGACAAAAACCAGCAGCAGAATGAACAGGAAGCGCTGCCACAGCCGCATTTGAGTGGCTAAACCCCGCCCCCCAGCCTCAACCTGATTGGTTGGCTGCCTGGGGGCGTGGCGCATCAGCTGGGATAGCTGGGTAGGGGCCGAAACGCCCCCTGCCAATGCAGGAAATGGCTCCCGCTCACAACTCCTCCCCTCTGTAAGGAGGAGAGGCTTTAGGTGCTGAGTTTTGAGGGCCAACATTGGTGAGTTTGCAACTCTTGTAAAATTCTGCAGTTGGGGTGCTCTGGAAAACAAAGCTTAATATTTGCAGCCCCCCATAGTTAACTAAGAAGTGGGATCACACCTCATTCACCCTTGTTTGTTAATTCTTAGAACTAGAATTTTCATAAACTTTACACCCCATCTCTCTTCTCTTCTATTTTTCTGAGATTTTGAAAAGAAAAGACGCTCCGTAACCTTTGCTTCCCTGCTCACAGCTGGACAGCATTAATGCAATATCTTCCCCAGTAGGATTATTAGAATAGTTAGTCAAGTGATCATTATCACCTTCCTCTGCTGCCTCTCCTCATGCCATCAATTCATTTGCAAGTTGCAATCAATTGTGTACTCACCCCCCCCAAAAAAAACTAATTTTAAAGGCTTGAATGCATTTTGTATCCCTGCTATGAAATCCTTCCCGCTATGAACTCCTTAGTTTTTGGTTTTTAAGCACATTTTCTTTGTTAAATCAGTCTGCTCATTCTAAACACCAGCAGAAATGTCACCGCCTTCGAAATTAGGTTTGGTTCTTTAAGAAGATCAGCTGGTAGCTTAACGTAGCTTGTGGATTTCTTAACAAGGAGATAGTTTGCCTTAGGCAACACATCATACACTCCGTGCAACAGCACAGCCAAAGACAGGGTCCAAAATGAGTGTTATGGAACTTTCTGTCAGTTTCCCCCCACCCCTTCCCATTTCATTATTTCTTATGCCAAATGATATGGAACTGAATGTTTGTTCGCATAATTATTTCAAACCCAAAATGACAGCTTTCATGTCAGTCTCATGGAGGCTGAAAACTGCAACAGTTGAATAAAGCAAAGCCTTGGCAAAAAGGAACTGAACTCAGTGGAAATAGGATTAAGGCAAAACTGATTTTTTGTGCCCAGGCAGTCCCGTCCTGTTCCCCCCCCCCCCCACTGGGTTTGGTGAGAACCCAGCAGCCTCCACAACGGCCAGGGGAGCGGAGCAAAGGTTTGCAGGACAGCGTGGCTTCAGGAGGACAGGGAAACAGCACACCGGGCCGCAAACGTCTCCCACCACCGGACTGGTTGAGCGGCCATTTTAGGACCATCTAAATCTTCAAGTTATTAAATAACACAAAGGTGTTGACATAAATTATTTTTGATAATTTATGGCAAATTGTAGCGATGCATTTTAAATGTGAGAGCATAATTTCTCATGTCAGCTCCGATACAAAAATGTTGGTGGTAGGACAAATAATATTAACATACTTGCTAAGCACTTAAATTGAACTTTTTCCCAGTTGTCTAAAATGTAAATGATCATTACTGCAGTCCATAATAAATTGGATTATTTTTAAAAAAGTTAAATAAGATTGAAATAATAATAATTTCTGTTGGGTGACAAATTTGCATGCCTTTAAACGAGGGTCAGTGATGAAATCAGTCACAAACTCAAGAGAGATTATGCTCATACAAAAAGAAAATAAAAAAGAGATCCTCCCTAGCAAACAATCAGCAGACCTGCTGCAAATATTTACCATGTTTGCAAAAGTTATAGCCCTGTGCAGATTCTAATCATCTAATGTGATTAGGATCACTTGTTCTGAGATAAGAGGCATGCTGAGCAGCTCCAGCCTCTTCAGCACATTTCCATCACCACCTTCCATGCGCCACAGGGCTAAACACCTGTAGCCTATTGTGGAGGCTGCCGGAACAAACCACCGGAGAATCACAGTGCCTGCTTTGGCTGCAGAGACTGATAACTCATAACTGCTGCCTCCCGCACTGTGTTGATGCATGGAGGTCCTGGGCTGCCCTGATGGGGTCCAAAGGAAAGCAGAGCAATACATTTGGCACCGGGTGGGCTGCAGCAGTTGCTGGAAGGAGGCATAGAAAATGCCATCCGTCTTAGGGCCTCCACTCCAGATTTTTGTAGGGTTTCCTCCTTGGCCTTTTCTTCTCCCGAAGATGTCCCTCAAGGCAGCGAGTATGGGTTTTTCCTCAGGATTTACTCCCAAAACCTTTCTCACCAATGTGTATAGTCACAAGCAGGTCCATGCAGAGCTTGGTCTGAGGCCCAGGGCAGGAGTCTTGTTAGAATAAAGTTATAAACTCAAACAAAAAAAACCAGCTAGTTCCTGGCAGAGCCCGTTGGCTGGCTTAACCCTCCAAGGGTTCCCAGCTGCCCCCTGGCTCTGTAGTGGCCTGGATGCAAGGCAACGGAGTAAACCTCAGAGTTTTCTTTCTCTTAGATGGGCTACCTTCCCAGATCAGTCTTGCTTTGGCTAAACCAATTAGAGTTAAGGCAAAACTTCATGTGATGCTGGAGAGTTGTGATTGGCTCCCCTAGTGTCATTAACTTGCCTAAAATCAACTGGGGGGTGTGGACCAGAGCCGTGGCAGGAAACAGTTAACACATGCAGATTATCCCCACCTGAGTTGCTATCAGCCACAAGGGGGAAAATGTGCCATATACTGCACATATACTGCATATATTCTTTCTCTTCTGCAGCTCATAGCGCCAGTAATATAAAAGGAGAGCTTTCTGGTGTGCCCTTTCTTGGCACGCACCTTCCCAGGTACAAAGACCAGACTCAACTCCCTGGCAAGCAAGCGTGACCTGAATTGCAAGTTAACCTTGATTGCCTATTAATTAGCATTCAGCGTTAGTGGCCAAGAAGCCACTAAGCAGTGCAGCAATGCTCATCACAATATTTAGATGCAGCAGAGCTGTTCTTTCATTCTGGCTTCTTACAGGCTCCAAAGACGTACTTTTTCGCAGAGAAATTACAAATCTGGATGAACAAGGAAGCTTTCTATGGCAAGCTACACCAATCAAACCGGGACTAAGACAGGGGCAGGAACGCACAATTTAATTTACTTTCATGCTTCTGCAATTTACAGTGTATCAGTGTCACATCTGTGTGTTATGTTGTGCTTGCCATTCCAAGCCACTTTGTTTTCCTGGCTTTACATATATATCTTGCCTTTTCTTTGTCAACCCAAGCTAAACTTCATTTTGGCAAGTCCTTTGATGCGGATCATCCCCCAAAGTCACACGAGTCCAAGAACCACCAGAGCTTGTAGAATTTCATCTTTTATTCCAATTAGCATCAAAGCCTGCTGTGTGCTCTTTGAGATGTTTGCAAATGTTGTTTGTAGGATCATAGGGGTGAATGGTGGCCACGCACATGAACTTTGCTTAAATAAATGAGGCCGTGTTCCCCCTTCAGCACTGGGAAGGTTAATTTGGCTTCTTCTCTGGACTAAGAGCAAGGAGGGGTGGTCGGAGCAGTCTCTTTCGATGTTGCTTTCACATGTGTTCATTCTCAATTAGGGATGGGTGATTTCTGCACATTTCTACACATTTCTGCAAGCAGTTTCCTCAGATACAATGCATTTGTGTGTTTTCACCAGTATATGCATTCTTGTGCACACTTTCCCCTAATAAATGCATCCGTGCTCACATATTTTGGGATGGAGAATTGCATCAACAGATTCAGAGAAGGCCAAATTTCAAAGTACAGTTGTGTTTCAGCTTGCATATTGTTTCAGGAAGAGCAAATTAGATAGGTTCATGTTAAAATCTGCACCAAATGCAATCTCTTCCCCTGTCCACAATACCATTCTGCCCCACTTCTACATTCACCTGCGATTCTTTTTAAAAAATCCCACTGTCCCTCAGCCAGAAAAAGTACAAAGCTTTAGCATTTAAAACAAGGGTCAAAGAAAGATAAATGTCATTAATGGTTACAAGGCTTCCCAGGATGCTATTTACGTAAGAAGAAAAAAGTGCATGCTAATTGCAGTCATGCAATTAATGTCACATTTAGTTTGACCCTTAACAGGAAGAGTTTCTGTGGGACTGCATGTCTGCAGGTATGGCTGTGATAGGGAACTTGCCCCCACTCCCACCCTCCGCATAGCAAGCACAAAACTCAAGAGCTCTTCAGCTATTTATTAGAGTTGTCATCATATAGACAGTTACCTATGAATTTAGATTGGCATTTGATAGTATTGCTGGGTCAGACCTGGTAGAAGAAAATCTCGTGTTTGGGGGGAAAGGGGAAGAAAAGCAGACAGTCTCTAGGCTTCAAAGCCCTTTCTCTCCACACAACCATCTTTTTTATAAAATCAAAGTGGGCTTCTCGTTTTCAATCAAATAGCATTTGATTTCCAGGATGATACTGACTCAGGACAAGCAGTTTTTAAAAATCTGATGGACACTTCCCCTGCCCTTTGCCCCTGATGGTCTTTAATGTGTAGACAGAAACTATTTGCATTCTACTGCGTGTAACGAAAGAGAGCGGGGAAGCTATTTTTGCATGTACAGTATTCTAAATGAATTCTATGGGTTCCCCCCACTAGCAACTCAACTGAGCCCTCATTACTCATACAGTAAACGGAAGTATAAGATTTATATGCATAGTCCATTTCACTCAGTTTAAGAAACAATAAGATTGATAAAAGAAGTCCAGTTGAGCACTTGGTCATTTTTTAAAGAGAGGGAAGAGTGAATGAATTGGGGGAGGGGGGAGAAACTAGCCCTTTTCTTATAGAAGGAAATGGTAGAGTTCCTTACATCATGCATTGATTTACTGTACTTGGGTGAATAGGAACCTCTACACTTACAGTTATGCATAGGCAGTGTTTATACTGCTGAAATGCAGTCTTCTGCTGCCCTCTAGAAGTTGATTGATGAACACATCCTACATCAACAGGACATCTTTAACAAGTTGGTCACGGAGGGAAAAGGCATGCTTAGGCAAAAAAAAATAAAATTGAATTAGGCTTCAGTGCATTTCAACATTGTGTTGAATTG